ATTAACTTAAAGACAACTGAAAAAGACTGAACACAAACAAAATGCCCCCCAAAATAAAATCCTATTCTGCAGAATACAAACTGCAGGTTGTCAAATATGCAGGCGAAAACGGTAATCGAGCAGCAGAAAGAAAGTCTGGAGTGAGTGAGAAACTTGTGAGGGACTGGCGAAAAGCAGAGGTTACTCTAAAGAACACAAATTAAGATATTTGTGATTAAATCTGAGAGCTGGATCACTCCTCCATAGGCTTCTAAGGGATCGAAACCGGCCGGCCCAGAAAAGTTATTAAAGACATCGTTAAAATAGTCCGAGTGACTACAGTGGCTCAACCTTAAGTTTATCAAGCGACGAGAATACTTTGTGCGCAAAAAACAAACAAAAATAAATAATGCCCTAAATTAGTACATGATTAACTAACTGTATTTTTTCTATGTACATTTCTGAAATGCACTTTCTGTAAAGCTGCTTTGAAACAATATATATTGTGAAACGCGCTATACAAATACATTTGAACTGAATTGAATTTTTGGATCAGCTGTTGTACATTGTGTTTGCTGTGCTTTTTACATAGCAGAATTAGAGATTAAGGTGTTTAAAAGATTAACCCATCATGTATCGGTGTATGCAGCAGAAATGATGGCAATCATGTTTGCATTACAGTGGCTAGAGGAAGTCAAACCCATGACAATGCTAATTTGTTCAGATTCAAGTGCTGCTTTGGCTAGCCTCAAAAGTGCAAAGTCAAGTGAAATTTTGTTATCTTTATACAGAGTAAGTAGTCTGGGGATTGATGTTCAGTTCTTATGGGTCCCAGCACACATTGGCATCCAAGGGAACGAGAAGGCAGATTCTTTAGCTAAAAATGGGTTGAAAGTAAATCAGGTAGAGGTGGCAGAACCAGTTAGCAAAGTAGAGATCAAATCGTATATACAGAGCACAATTACGATACAGTGGCAGAGTTTTTGGGATAATGGAAATAAAGGAAGACATTTATACAAGATACAGCAGAAAGTGTGTGTGTGTGTGTGTGTGTGGGGGGGGGGGGGTCATTGGGGAAGAGCAGGAGAGAAGTGTCAATTTAGCAGAATTAGACTGGGTCACACAAAGTTAAATGCATCTCTGCACCTTATTGGAAAACATTCATCTGGAAATTGTGAGACATGCAGTCAAACTGGAGACTGTGGACCATGTGCTGTTTGTGTGCACTAAATACTCAAAGACTGGCTTTAAGGAATGGACTGGAATGAAGGAATTAAACAAATGGACATTACAACTATTTTCTCAAATAACTCCGGAAAGATGGTGCTTAAACTCATCTCAGCTTTTTTACAACGAACTGGACTGAACACAACACAAGGATTTAAGTATCTGTAATTAAGATACGGTAGGTGGCGATAATGCTCCATATAATAATAATAATACATTTTATTTGTAAAAGCACTTTACATTTTAAGAAAAAACCTCATTGTTCTTAGGATCAGACCTGTAGCACTTTATCTAGACATTCTACAATCCATAAGATCTGCTAAAAAGTAATGTTTGAATCCCTTTTTAAAAGTCTCGATGGTCTGTGGTGACCTCAGATGGTCCGGGAGGGCGTTCCTAACCCGGGGAGCGGCAGAGCATAAAGCGCGATCGCCCACTGTGCAGAGTCCAGTTTTTGGCATTAAGAGCCGGTTTGAGTTTTGTGATCGGAGGGATCGTGCTGTAGAAACAGGGGTAAGCAGCTCTTTCAGGGAGGGGGGCGCGTTTCCATAGATGCATTGGTGAAACCTTGTATTCGATCCTAGCAGAAACGGGAAGCCAGTGAAGCGTGTGGAGGATGGGAGTGATGTGTTCATGGTTTCGCACTCTCCTCAGGATCCTTGCAGCGCTGTTCTGGACGTACTGTAGCTTTAGCAGACTCTTGTTGGGGACCCCGATGAGAAGAGCTTACAGTAGTCCAGTCTAGCGGAGACGAAGGCGTGAACAGGTTCTCAGCATCAGCTAAGGTAAGTGTAGAACGGAGCTTGCGATATTTTTGAGATGATGAAAGGAGATCTTACAGAGATTTTTGATATGGGCTTCAAAGGTGAGTTGTGGATCTAATCTCACACCGAGACTGGCAACTGTTGTGGAAAGGGGAATGTCTTGGCCAGAGATGGTTATACCGGAGAGTGAGGATGACTGAATTTGGTGCGAGGTGCCAACGAGAATTGCTTCAGTTTTGGAACTGTTTAGTTGGAGAAAATTCTGTTTCGTCCACACCTTTATCTCCTCGAGACAGGCAGTGAGTGTTGGAGACGGAGTGATGTTGGCGGTGCTGCAGTTGGTTGTGGATGGGATTTCATGTACAGTTGTGTGTCGTGGGCGTAGCAGTGAAGAGACACCCCATGGCGGCTGATGACATGTCCGAGTGGCAGGATATAAATGATAAAGAGAATGGGGCCAAGAACCGACCCCTGAGGTACTCCGCAGGTAACTGTGTGTTCCCGGGACCTTGATTTTCCAAGCGAAATGTACTCTTTTCTGTCCGTCAGATATGAATTGAACCAGTCCAGGGCTATTTCAGTCAGTCTGGTGGTTTGATGCAGCCGGTCGAGTAGAATGCCATGGTCCACAGTGTCTAAAGCAGAGGACAGGTCGAGCAGTATGAGAAGGGAAGGTGAGCCAGCATCAGCTGCCATTCGTAGGTCATTTGTGACTCTGACGAGCGCTGTTTCTGTGCTATGAGCTGTGCTGACAGTGCTATGAGCTGTGCTGACAGTGCTATGAGCTGTGCTGACAGTGCTATGAGCTGTGCTGACAGTGCTATGAGCTGTGCTGACAGTGCTATGAGCTGTGCTGACAGTGCTATGAGCTGTGCTGACAGTGCTATGAGCTGTGCTGACAGTGCTATGAGCTGTGCTGACAGTGCTATGAGCTGTGCTGACAGTGCTATGAGCTGTGCTGACAGTGCTATGAGCTGTGCTGACAGTGCTATGAGCTGTGCTGACAGTGCTATGAGCTGTGCTGACAGTGCTATGAGCTGTGCTGACAGTGCTATGAGCTGTGCTGTTTCTGTGCTATGAGCTGTGCTGTTCCTGTGCTATGAGCTGTGCTGACAGTGCTATGAGCTGTGCTGACAGTGCTATGAGCTGTGCTGACAGTGCTATGAGCTGTGCTGACAGTGCTATGAGCTGTGCTGACAGTGCTATGAGCTGTGCTGACAGTGCTATGAGCTGTGCTGACAGTGCTATGAGCTGTGCTGACAGTGCTATGAGCTGTGCTGACAGTGCTATGAGCTGTGCTGACAGTGCTATGAGCTGTGCTGACAGTGCTATGAGCTGTGCTGACAGTCCTATGAGCTGTGCTGACAGTGCTATGAGCTGTGCTGACAGTGCTATGAGCTGTGCTGACAGTGCTATGAGCTGTGCTGACAGTGCTATGAGCTGTGCTGACAGTGCTATGAGCTGTGCTGACAGTGCTATGAGCTGTGCTGACAGTGCTATGAGCTGTGCTGACAGTGCTATGAGCTGTGCTGACAGTGCTATGAGCTGTGCTGACAGTGCTATGAGCTGTGCTGACAGTGCTATGAGCTGTGCTGACAGTGCTATGAGCTGTGCTGACAGTGCTATGAGCTGTGCTGACAGTCCTATGAGCTGTGCTGACAGTCCTATGAGCTGTGCTGACAGTGCTATGAGCTGTGCTGACAGTGCTATGAGCTGTGCTGACAGTGCTATGAGCTGTGCTGACAGTGCTATGAGCTGTGCTGACAGTGCTATGAGCTGTGCTGACAGTGCTATGAGCTGTGCTGACAGTGCTATGAGCTGTGCTGACAGTGCTATGAGCTGTGCTGACAGTGCTATGAGCTGTGCTGACAGTGCTATGAGCTGTGCTGACAGTGCTATGAGCTGTGTGGAAACCAGATTGGAACTTTTCGAATAGGTGGATGTTTTTGAGGTGGTCCTGGAGATGAATGGCAACAACTTTTTCCAAGACTTTTGAGATGAACGGAAGATTTGAAATTGGCCTATAATTTGATAATATATCAGGAGCAAGAGTGGGTTTTTACAGAAGTGGTCTGATTATGGCGGTTTTAAGAGCAGATGGAACATCGCTGGACAGGATAGACTGGTTTATTACAGTGGTAATTAGAGGGCTTAGGATAACGGAGTTTGCTTTGACAAGAACAATATGGTTGCAAGTCACCAATAAGAAGAAGAAGAAGAAGAAGAAGTGTGCTGGTTCGTTGTCATTAGTACATGTATGCTATCCTTGTGTGTTCTTCCTGTGACCCAGTCAAGACATGTTTTCCCCCTCGGGGTAGTTTTTGTTTGTTTTTATTAAATTTTTTGATGAATAAAAGCCCTATTCTTCTGCGTTTGAGTCCTCGTCTCCTCAACCCTAGCCGTGATAGACACCCATATCTGAAGTGTTTGGATGGCGTCTCGTGTGAAGCTGATCTTCTGTTCGATCCACTCGCTCCGCACGGCCATGCTCACTTCACAACAGATCACAGCTGGGTTCGTTAAATCTGCAAGCTTGGTGAAATTAAATGTTTAGTAGATATTATATATTAGATACATTTGTGTAAATGGTGTCGATGTGCATTTGCTGAATGTTGACGGTGAATGGGAAAGTATTTTAGCCTGATTGTTTGCCTTTTCTGTTACAAATGATATAAAAGCAAAGGCTTTACTTTTTCGCACACCATTTACTTTCGTTGTTTACCAGTTCTGTCTAACACAGCATTAGATCTGACTGGCAGAGACGGTGAACCACTGAAGACGGAGAGTGTGTGTGTGTGTGTGTGAGCGCTGGGATCCGGCTTCCAACACATCGGCCAATCAGAAAAACGAATATATCGGTCGACCACTATACGACTTTCCTTTCCGCATTTCATTATTGCATGAGTTCGTACGAATGACCTTCCCCTGACCCTTGACCCTTGACCCCTGACCCCGGCCCTTACCCTAGCCACGATACCTGTGGTAAATAAAGCGAAATGTTCACAAACATTATAAAGAGCTGATGTTTACCATCCCGTAATCCACTCCGCTCGTGATGGTGTGCCGGCGCCGCTGGTCTCCCGTGTGCCGCCGCGAGCTCGCGAAGCCCGTCATCGACTCGCTGTGTGAGCGCAGCAGAACCAGGCTCTCGACTGACCCAGAACACACAAACACACACACACACACACACGTCAGGACAATTCAGGCTCAATATGACATGTTTCATTAACTATAGAATTAAAACATTAGAATAAAAGCAGCTCAGCTAAGCTTGCTAACATCGCCGTGGTGGAGCGACGTGTTACTCTATAGACTCAGACTGATGATTAAAGATTTTAAAAATTGTGTTTTAATTTTTGTTCCAATATGAATATGATGATGTGATAGTGATTCAGCTTTCTGTATTTGTGCCATATCCATCGGAACGAGGTTCAGATTCTAAGAGGATTGAAATGCTTTAAAGGCTCGACATGACAAACGTTCACTGGTACATTAAGACGATTATATTGCTAAAACTATTCGGATTAGCTTTATATGGACCTTACATGGAATTTGATGTGAAAATTACAATGTAGTGAAATGTAGTCTTTTATATTTATATATATTAAAATAATATTAAAATAAATTATTTACTGTCACCAGTATTTATTGAAAGTGAACCCGGGTATTAAGACTCGAATGGCTTAATATAACATAAATGATGTTTCTTACTGAAGTAGAAAACCCATGGAAGATTTACTTTATTAGAGAAAGCTCAAGTTTCCGGTTTAGATGCTCAAGCTCTCGAAGCGGATCCTGATCCGGGAAAGATCAGAGTGTGTTTCCCAATCCCAGGAGCAGAGGCAGCTTCCCTGCCCTTCATATCTGTGAACCACATTCAGTCTTGAGCCCATCTTCATCATCACCATCATCATCATCACCATTCATCTTCATCATCATCACCAACATCATTCATCTTCATCACCATCATCATTATCATCCTCATCATTCATCTTCACCATCATCCTCATCATAACCATCCTCTTCATCAATCATCTTCACCATCACCATCCTCATCTTTCATCATCACCATTCATCACCATCATCATCCTCTTCATCATTCATCTTCACCATCTTCATCATCATCCTCTTCATCATTTATCTTCACCATCACCATCTTCATCATAACCATCCTCATCATTCATCTTCATCATCATCATCCTCATCTTTCATCGTCATCATCATTCATCACCATCATCATCCTCTTCATCAATCATCTTCACCATCACCATCCTCATCATCATTCATCTTCACCATCACCATCCTCATCTTTCATCATCACCATCATCATCCTCTTCATCATTCATCTTCACCATCTTCATCATCATCCTCTTCATCATTTATCTTCACCATCACCATCTTCATCATAACCAGGGGTCTCAAACTCAACTTAACTGGGGGCCGCTGGAGGTAGAGTCGGGGTCAGGCGGGCCGCATCAAGTATTCCACAAAAAAGAGTATTCAAGTATTCCAAAAAAGGAGCACAACTGATCCAATCTTCTCAATCTTTATTATTAACGTTTCTTCTGAACTGTTCCTCTGAATTTGAACATTCCTTTCTGTACATGATTGGTTCTTCATGAGCTGTCCTTCTGACAGTTGAAGTTCATTTTACAAACTTTCTTTGTCTATAACACATATTTGTAATATTTATATTTGCTAATGTCCTTTTTATTTTCTTTATACAACACATTAATGATATTGAATGTTTTTTTTGGAAGGCACATTTCCTTTTATTATATACTTAGAAAAACAATTATTGCTTTTGAAATACAAATATTTGCAGTCATGTCTGCCCGTCTTATTGAATTCTTTCTACACATGTATAGTGTCTCAGGCAAATTACTGAGTGCACAAATCAAAGCAAACCTTCTTATCAACCTGTTAGACACATATTACAAGCTCAAAATGATTATTCTCACATTGTTTTAAAGCAGGGTCTCTCTCCAACACGTCGCTCGCGAGCTACCAGTAGCTCGCGGCCTGGTTGGTGGTAGCTCTACAAGGGGCAGTTCACATATCGCGCTCACATATTTTGCGCGCTCAAGTTCGTTATTTCAAATGTAGGTGCGCGTGCGCGGCAAGCGCGCTCATAATTGAAGCGACGCGCTCATTTTTTCCAGGCGCGCAGTATGTTTGTACTTAGCGGTTGTCTATGGCAACTATTGACAACAAACCCACCGTATGGTAGCCCATTTAAAACGCGGCACACGCAACGACGGGCCACACTAACATTACACTTTAATGTCAAGTAGGGGGCCACAAAATATCACCCCGCGGGCCGCAAATGGCCCGCGGGCCGCGAGTTTGAGACCCCTGATCATAACCATCCTCATCATTCATCTTCATCTTCACCATCATCATCCTCATCTTTCATCGTCATCATCACCATCATCATCCTCTTCATCATTCATCTTCACCATCCTCTTCATCATTCATCTTCACCATCACCATCTTCATCACCATCCCCTTCATCATTCACCATCCTCTTCATCATTCATCTTCACCATCTTCATCTTCATCATTTATCTTCAACATCTTCATCACCATCCCCTTCATCATTCACCATCCTCTTCATCATTCATCTTCACCATCTTCATCTTCATCATTTATCTTCACCATCACCATCTTCACCATCATCCTCATCTTTCATCGTCATCATCACCATCATCATTCATCACCATCATCATCCTCTTCATCATTCATCTTCACCATCACATATTCCAGTTCCTCTAGTTTCTTCAGGGTTTTCTGTCATTTAAATGAGAGCTTTTTGTCACAAAATAATCTAGTTTGCAGCAGATTTCTATGCATTAAGAGCAGACTGCAGATATACATTATTTTTATTGTCACAAAAATTTATACCTAATTTGAAAAATTGAGAAATACAAGGTAACAAAAAATCGCGTTGTTTTGCACTGACTGATGTGTGTTTGAACAGTTCCGCTTAAAGGGTTCGTCACTAAACATGCCAAACATTCCTGCCATTGTGAAGGATTGAAAAGGACACACACCTTACACACACACCTTACACACACCATCTTTACCTGTCACCACTCTCTGATACACACAGCGAAAGTGAACGGATGTCAATCATCTCTCACCTGTGTTTAGTCCATCGGGAGATTCCGAAGCGGGTTCCGTGGATCGGCCGTGATGTTCGCTGTGGACCGGATCGGATCTGACCGAGTAACGGGAAGAATAGCTGTGTTTGTCGGGTCTGTTCCGAGTGTGGACTGCGTTTGTTCCGTTACTCGGTCCGAGCGGCCGAACTCTGCACTCCAGCGGCCGCCCGGTCCCGGTTCTGGATCTCTCCGGCGGGTTCTGCTGCTGACGGGGGTTATTAGCCTGAGTTTTGCTGCTGTTTTCGGGGTTGAACATCGAGTATCGGAGTCCCGCGACGAAGCGCTCGAAGCTCAGGCGCCCGTGCCGCGACGCGACCCGCCTCAGACCCTCCAGAACCCCCGCGGGGACATCGCGCTCCTCCGCGCCGCGCCACCGGCTCTCGATCTCCGACAGCTGGACGAACCCCCGGCCTCCGTCGTCGAGGATGTCGAATAGGGTTCTCAGGCTGTGAAGGAACGCTTTCGGGAGCCCGTGTGTGCTGAGCTCCGGCTCCGGGTCCCTCGGCTGCGCGCTCGCGGGGTTATACACGGGACAGGCTTTTCTCACGCCACTTTGAAGAGCGTTGGTTAGTCCGTTCCTTTGGCGGTTCGGATCTGTTTGTAATAAGGCCATTAAGTTATTTTATTGACAGAACAGCGACTCTGCTAATAACTTCTCTTTCCTTTCGGCAGTTTGAGTTTTATTTTCTCTTCCGTCTCTCTCTCTCTCTCCCGCACGAGTCTCTGAGGCTCCGCCCTGCGCGCTGGCGACACGCTCATTGGCTAAAGGGAGAGTTGCTTCAACGTTATTGGCTGAAACAACAGCAACAATAGTTTGAGTTTTGCTGGAGAAGTTTTTGAATATCATAAAAGCCAGTCAAATTTCCCGCATATTTTTGAAAAAGCACAAAGAAAACTAAACTTGTAAACATTTCTTTATAATCCAGTACCAAACGCCATCGTCACTATATCACTGATATTTGTTTTCTCATCCATTCCGTTTTCATAAAAAAAAAAAAAAAAAAAAAAATGGAATGCAGATGGGCTTTCTTCTTCAATGGTTTAAACACTAATTTACAGAATAAACAGATATTTTCTTCTTTTCATTTTCTTTATACAAAACTCTTATTTTATTGAAGCTTGTTCCTAATATCACCTGCTTGGATGCCACATTATCATGATGCACACATCTTCTGTGTGTGTGTGTGTGTGTGTGTGTGTGTGTCAGCGCTTTGAGGAGGGCAAGTTCAGTTCGGTACAATACTAAACACTTAAAGTGTATTTTAACTGTGACGGCTAAACCTACACAATTCCCCCTCTTCTGTTCTACGACGGTGAGAGACGGGTCATGATGAAACCCGTCCTGCCCTCGGTAAGGGTCGCGATCCAGGTGACCTTTGACCTCTTACAGGCACGGCATCACAGATAGATGTGCGATTCTTCTCAATACTGCCGCTGTCAGAAAGCAGCGAGCTCCACTAAACCAGCTTCTTCCGCTGAAAGCATGCTATATTACACTTCATAAAAGCACATGGAAACTGCAGCTCTCAAACGGTTTTATTGGTTTTGTGGCAAGGGAGGGAGAAAGAGAGCAAGAGAAAGTTGCATTAATAAATATTCATAGTGTTCATACTAAAGTGTTACTTGGTGAAATAAGTTCACATTCTGAGATCTGTTTTTCCAGCTGTTTGGTCTCGGGTTTAATGCGTTTCATTAGTTTTCTCCTCAGCTTTAGTGTGCACTACAGTTCAGGCCCTGACGAGTCTGTCCACCACAAACATGAGCTTTTAGAGGCTAATCAAATCTCAAAGCGTGGCATGACTTCCTACAAACACAGGACTGACTGTGATTTATGTCAGGGTTTTAAATCAACACCTTGTTCACATTTCTTCCATTGAGGTCGAGGCCTAAGAGATAAGAGCCAGTCTCTCTCTTATCCCACACATTCAAATATGTGCCATAATAAAAAGCCCAGAGCCTCAGCAACGGTCTCAGATCAGCGGCTTCATCGTTCGCTTCACCATAATTAATTAAAGTAGTCCAATGTAAAGCATAACAGTTGTAAAGATAATAAAAGGTTGTGGTTAATACTCACCACTTTGGATTTTATTTGTATATTTTGTCTTGATCTGCTGCCAAGAACGTTTGAGTTGCATCTAAAATCAATGAATATTAATCTTTCTTAGGATGTAATATACATTCACAATTTTTATATATAAATATATTTTATATATTTACACATGCACATATATATTTATACCCATCCTACATACATACATCATTTTACATTAATATAGAATGTATTTGTTTAACTATATATATATATATATATATATATCCCATTCTGTAAAACTGTGAGAGTGATTTACTTCTCTTCAGCGGAAGATTAAGAGATTGAAAAATATGAAGATTTTGAGTGCATTTACAGCAAAAACAGAGGAAACCTCAAAGAAAACATCTTGCTATATGAGTGCAAGTGAGAGTTTAAAAGTTGGATAATAGGTATAGTAATTCTATAAATCATACACAATATGTGGAAATAATCATTGCTAAAAGCCAGACGATTTTGTTTTAAAATTTTAACTATGTAGTGACCAAACTGGCTCTATTGTAGTGATGAACTGGTGCTGTTCCACGAGTGGCCGCTAGAGGCCGCTAGAGGCGCTTAAAACACACGGGTCTCAGTGATGATCACCAGCTCAAACTATAATCAATCTAACATCAAAACTACATGCAACAACTATTTAGAAAGCTTTATTTTATCACTGAAGCTGAAGAGTAAACATTCAAGAATAGTTTAAATTAACATTAAATACACAATGCTGTACATAGAGAAGATATTATACAATATTCATAAATTAAATTGCATTTCATCTAAGATGTGCTTATATCATAACTTCTTAATATGTAACAAACCAGGTCATAGAGGAAGACAGCATTAATTTCTAATGAACAATTCAAACAGTCACAGACAGAAGAAACCCGCCAAATCAATAAAGACTCATCATATCAAACATCTAGGGAAGCCCTGGACCGAAACGTAAAATAAATTAAAATCAGTGCAAACCCCCCCCCCCCCCCCCCCCCCTAAAATTCCGAGAATAAAGTCGAAATATTTAGAGAATAAAGTCGAAATATTTAAAAAATACAGTCTTTCGTAGAAGTTTTTTAATCAACTTTATTCTCATAATTTTTTTTTCTTTTTACATTGCGGTTCAGGGCTTCCGTAAACATCAGTACAGTATGTGTGCCATATCTCGTCCTTCAGCCCAAATATGTTAATGGGGTAGAAGTGACATGATCCAACAGCATCTTGCTATTAGAGCTGAACATCATCATCGAAGGATCTACTCATTAAATGTCAAAATTATTTTTCTTAGTCACAGGTACATAATTTCTACCAAACAGTCACTGTAGCAAACATAATGATCTGGGCTCGTTCTTAGAGTCGAAGGAACGGACCGGTCGCGTTACTCCGCGGCTCGGACTCGTTACTCCACGGGTCGGACCCGTTACTCCGCAGCTCGGTCCCGTTACTCCGCGGCTCGGTCCCGATACTCCGGGGCTCGGACCCGTTACTCCGCGGCTCTGTCCCGATACACCGCGGCTCTGTCCCGTTACTCCGCGGCTCGGTCCCGATACACCGCGGCTCCGACCCGTTCCTCCGCGGCTCGGACCCGTTACTCCGTGGCTCGGTCCCGATACACCGCGGCTCCGACCCGTTACTCCGCGGCTCGGTCCCGTTACTCCGTGGCTCGGTCCCGATACACCGCGGCTCCGACCCGTTACTCCGCGGCTCGGTCCCGTTACTCCGTGGCTCGGACCCGATACACCGCGGCTCCGACCCGTTACTCCGCGGCTCGGTCCCGTTACTCCGTGGCTCGGTCCCGATACACCGCGGCTCCGACCCGTTACTCCGCGGCTCGGTCCCGTTACTCCGTGGCTCGGACCCGATACACCGCGGCTCCGACCCGTTACTCCGCGGCTCCGACCCTTCTTCAGGGACGAGTGGTCGCTGTAGATCTTGTTTGGTGTGCAAGAGCGCGTGTCTCTTCAGGTGTCCAGCGCGGCTGAAGTTCCTCCCGCAGTGACCGCAGGTGTGCCGCTTCTCCCCGGTGTGGATCAGGTGTGCTGGTTCTCTCTGCTGTGGGTCAGCTGGTATCGCTTCAGGTGTCCGGCGCGGCTGAAACTCCTCCCGCAGTGACCGCAGGTGTGCCGCTTCTCCCCGGTGCGGATCAGGTGTGCTGGTTCTCTCTGCTGTGGGTCAGCTGGTGTCTCTTCAGGTGTCCGGCGCGGCTGAAGTTCCTCCCGCAGTGACCGCAGGTGTGCCGCTTCTCCCCGGTGTGGATCAGGTGTGCTGGTTCTCTCTGCTGTGGGTCAGCTGGTATCGCTTCAGGTGTCCGGCGCGGCTGAAACTCCTCCCGCAGTGACCGCAGGTGTGCCGCTTCTCCCCGGTGCGGATCAGGTGTGCTGGTTCTCTCTGCTGTGGGTCAGCTGGTGTCTCTTCAGGTGTCCGGCGCGGCTGAAGCTCCTCCCGCAGTGACCGCAGGTGTGCCGCTTCTCCCCGGTGTGGATCAGGTGTGCTGGTTCTCTCTGCTGTGGGTCAGCTGGTATCGCTTCAGGTGTCCGGCGCGGCTGAAACTCCTCCCGCAGTGACCGCAGGTGTGCCGCTTCTCCCCGGTGCGGATCAGGTGTGCTGGTTCTCTCTGCTGTGGGTCAGCTGGTGTCTCTTCAGGTGTCCGGCGCGGCTGAAGCTCCTCCCGCAGTGACCGCAGGTGTGCCGCTTCTCCCCGGTGTGGATCAGGTGTGCTGGTTCTCTCTGCTGTGGGTCAGCTGGTATCGCTTCAGGTGTCCGGCGCGGCTGAAACTCCTCCCGCAGTGACCGCAGGTGTGCCGCTTCTCCCCGGTGTGGATCAGGTGTGCTGGTTCTCTCTGCTGTGGGTCAGCTGGTGTCGCTTCAGGTGTCCGGCGCGGCTGAAGCTCCTCCCGCAGTGACCGCAGGTGTGCCGCTTCTCCCCGGTGTGCACGAGCTGGTGCAGCTTCAGGCTGCTTGCCACGGTGAAGCTCTTCCCACAGTCTCCGCAGGGGTACGGCCTCTCGCCCGTGTGCATGCGCCGGTGGATGGTCAGGTGTCCGGCCTGGCTGAAGCTCTTGCTGCACAGCTGGCAGCGGTACGGCTTCTCTCCGGTGTGGATCCGGGTGTGAGTCTTCAGGTCTCCGGTCCCGCTGAACCGCTTCCCGCAGAGCTCGCAGCCGTACGGCTTCTCCCCTGTGTGTGTGCGCTGGTGGCTGCGCAGGTTACCGGCGTTGGTGAAGCGTTTGCCGCAGACGGAGCAGGGGAACGGCCTCTCGCCGGTGTGTGTGCGCAGGTGCACCTTCAGCTGGTTGTGTTCGCTGAAGCGTTTCCCACAGTGAGGACAGGCGTAGGGCCGCTCGCCCGTGTGGACCCGCCGGTGGATGGTCAGCTGACCCTGGTGCCCGTAGCTCTTCCCGCACAGCTCACAGGCGAACGGCCTCTCTCCGGTGTGTGTGCGCTGGTGGTTCTTCAGGAGGTCGGCGCGGTCGAAGCCCTTCCCGCACTGAGCACAAGTGTGTGTCTTCTCTGAGACGTGGGATCTCAGGTGGATGTGGAGCGACGCCTCGTGCTTGAAGCTCCGGTTACACTGAACGCAGCAGAGATCCGGCTTAGCGACCTGCAGAGACTCCATCACGTGGAACGATCCAGAGAATCCCTCGTCAGACAGTCCGTCTGGATTAGACTCTTCATCAGAGATGAGGCTGAGCTCCGGCTCTGATGACTCCGGGCCGTCGGGATACAGGTGTGTATCGGGATATAGGTGTGTGTCGGACACCACCGTCACCTTCACATCGCAGTCGCTGAGCTCCGGCTCTAATGGACGAGTGAATATATGCTGGCGATCACAGTCAGAGTTCTCCTCTGTATTCTCCGTCTTGATCTCTTGATCGGTGTGTTCAGGAGAAGCATGAGGATTGGAGAGGTCAACAGCACATCCGTCCTCCGTCTCCGGGTCGGCCTTCACACACAGCAGTGCTGCTGTCGCACAATCCTTGTTTATCTGCGGTGATTTCACATCTGGAGTTTGTGATTTCATTCGACTGCTCAGTGAATCTCCAGCGATCTTAGTTTGATCAGTATATTCACTCATATGAACAGATGAAAACACATCTTCGCTGAAATCCTTTCTTGAAAAGTCAAGCTGAAAAACACAATCTTCATTTTCTGCAAAACAAACACACAAAAAACATCTTGTTACTGGCCAAAATAATCACGAGGAACAATCAAAAACATGCTAATCTCCAAAGAGTTAAACTCTTGCAGTTTAAGTTTATATAAAACCACGGCTGAAATATTTAACTCTAAATGATAACGTCTCGGCTATGTAACCTTGGTTCCCTGAATAGGGAACGAGAGACGGCGACAGCCGTCGTTATGGGAACACCTTTGGTCTGACGAATGTCTGAAGCCCTTATACCATCACGCCAATTTATTGGCGAGTGGCCGTTAGCCCCGCCCCGAAAATACGTCACGTATGCTTCATATCAGCGTACTACGCGCCATTTCATCAGATTTCTACGACGAAGGAAGCACTTATCGAAAGGTATGGGAACGGCCGGTTTCGCAGGGTCTCATTCCCTATTCAGGGAACCAAGGTTACATACGTAACCGAGACGTACCCTTTCATAGGTCTCTCAACACTGCGACAGCCGTCGCTATGGAAATGATATACCAACGCCTTCCCAAACCTGAGGATAGCTGGAAGACCGAGGAAAGAGTCCGCTTCAAGTAGATAAAACTTGGAAGCCGGGAGCCATCCTCACGTCCAGACCCAAATGCACAAACAGTTAGTCAGATCTATGCCACTGGACTGTGTGGTAGACACAGATCTTCAACGCCCTTACCAGGCAAAGGCCAAGAGGCCGTCCATCACTCCCATGGGCAATGCTCAACAGATATAGCTGCCACATACGTCTAAGAGCGGTAGGGGCTGCCCCTGCAGAAGACGACTCCATTAACTACAGTATTGAACCTACAGGGCAATGAACTGGTCCAGGCCGCGCTGCTTGACCAAGAGGCAAAAAGCATACAGGCGCCTCGCCTCGTAAAGGGGGCCTCTAAAGTCAAAAATACATTAACATTCATTCATATTCATATTTCCATAAATTAGGACAGGGGTGCAAAATCAGCAGGTGGGGCCTGAGGACAGACTGACCAAATCGGAGAACCATTTATGAGCAGGCCCGAACGGGGCCACAAAAAAACAGTAGGACTGGACCCGAATATTCATTCGGTGGGTTGGTATTCAATTTTAAATTTTTGGATTTGAATATTCAGATTTTTTTGTGGTTTTTTCGCACACCTGGCATCCCCCTCGAAACAGTTCTCATTCGCACTTAAAAATGTTTACACTATAAAATCGGCTGAAATACAATACTCTTTTACAATTATCTTAGCTTAGCCGTTTTTATTAGGGTGGACAGTTGAAGGAACCCAACCTCGTTATATAATATATTTGCTTCTTAGCCTACTAAAGCGTTCCCTGCAACTGGAGTATTCTCTGTCTAGAGTGCACAACTGCATGAGCTTGTTTTTTGGGTTAAGCTGCGTTGCTTTGACATTGTGGAAAATAGAATGTGGAAAATAGAATAATAGAAACAAAATGTATTAGCCTTTTTACTCGTTATTTAGGGCTGTGCCGGTAAACTTGGCAAACGCACCACCGCGGCTGAGTAGTAGGGATGGGCGATATGGACTTAAAAATATATCACGATATTTTCTGGCATTTATTGCGATAACGATATCAATGACGATATAAATACAATACCATATTCACCACTGTTTTTGGCTACAAGTGATAGCTGCATGCAAAGTAAAATGTAGCCTTCACCAAATAGGCTCCTATAAAATACCAATTACCGTACATAAAATAATAATAAAAAAAAACAGTAAACGCCATCCCTTGCAGAAATGGAAAAGTTGCATACGTTTCTTCTGTAAAAGTGCAGATAATGTTTAAATAGTGCAACTATACTGAAAAACATCACACAGTAATAATACAAATCATTTACAAGTTTGAAATATAAAAAATCTAACAACGAATAGTTATACTAATACTACTACGAATTCTGATACTAATAACAATATAAACCACACTAAGAATTGATGAGCTGCTGGGTTCATGAATATCTTCACGTCTACGTTTGCGCATTAGTTTCTGCTTGCTCAAAGCTGAATAATTCCAAATGAACTCCATTATTTTTACAGGAAAATACAACAAATAATATAATTTACATGTAGACGTCATGTACACTTCAATTCTGCGTGGTATGTAAGACTCTCTCTCTCTCATCGAGTGCGTGAGAAACACGGAGCGCTCTCAGCAGTGACAGCACGTCATGCGCCTCAGTGTTTACTGCGCGTCAAATACACTGTGTATTCATTGAGATGAACTGATATAGTGGGCTTTACGGATCACTTGATGGAGAGCGACACTCAAGCGCTCAGTCAGTGTTCGGCGAGATGGGCGGATGAAAATCTGTGTGTACCAGTTCCAGATTGTAGAGGTAGTTACTCGTTTAGCGATAAACTTCACCTCAGCTTCACGTCTGCCTTCAGCCATGCGCGTGAGCTGCGAATGCGTCCCGTCATAGGCTTTATCGTTATTATCGTGGGAAGACTAATTCTTATCGTGAGGAAAAATGTTAACGATATATCGCAAACGATAATATATCGCCCATCCCTACTGAGTAGCACCGGCGGTGGTCCGCAAAAACCTATTTTTTTTTGTATGTGAATGCTGTTTAACTGTTTTACATGAATATTATGACACGAGTGAAGCACAAAGCTTTGTTTAAAAAATAAACAATAGGTTAGCAATTAAATGTTACATCGCAGCCATTTGGATTCATGATGAATGAGAGTTGTGCATGAGCCCATAAATTTAAGCTTTGTCGGCTTTGTATTCTGGTTTGCGATCTGGTCTCCCGATTATCAGCGAATTTAACAATATTCCATTAGTTATTCCACTGGACATGGAATCTCGTTTCTTTTCCCAAATCTTCACTAACGTCTCACCCATTTTTGCAGGGGATTATAAATGTTTCTTCCTTTGGTACGCTTTTAATTAGGCCTATTATATCCACATTCTTTATTGTGGTAAAGTAGAAAAAAACGCTGTAGGACAGGTAGCCTAACTTTTTACTTGCACATGCAATTCTTTTTAACACAGCTTGTGCTTGTTATTAGACTTGGTAAGGCGCATCAAGTTTATTTGTAAATCGCGTTTCACACATTTTAGTTTCGATCTCTTAGGCAGCGCAAAATCAAACATAGCCTAAATGTCTTGACACTGCAGAAGATAATTCACACTCTTCAGACCTTCTACAAGTAGAAAACATGAAGATATTAGAAAGAGATGGTCTCTTTCCTGCTCGTGTCCCACATCCCTGATCCCTCTCAAAGTGCAGAGCAGTAGGCTTAGGCTATATCATGCGTCTTTGTGTGAAAATATAAAACAAATTTTAAAAAATATATTTAACTTTATTATATTATTTAAGTAACCATTATTTACTGATATTTATTTCAATGCTTTACAGGCGTTAGTGTATTGTTTAATTGACGTAAGTGCTCAAATAAACACGCATATCTGTTACGAAATGGATGTTTGAGCCTCGTTTATTATTATTTTTTTATTTCCCTCCGTAGCTTCGAATATTTGGTGTTGATACCTACCGAAGCTTCGAATCACAAAAAATGGTATTCGGACCAGCCATAAAAAACAGATGTTTCACTTCGCCCGCCCGTACCCATAGCAAAAGTGCTGAGAGCAGTCGGATCGGCGAGAAGGCATAAGGTCTGGTCCTGGGCCACTCCTGAGCCAGAGCATCCACTCCCATACCCCTTTCCACCAAGGCAGTTTGAGTGCTGGTTCAGAGCCAGAGCCTAGTTTCAAATCAGTTCTTTGTCTTTCGAAACCCAAAGCACCAGCTCTGAACCAGGAAAAGTGGTTCGTAAGTAGCACCAGAACATTGCTGGTCTAGAAGAACCGCTTGCGTCAGGGCTGGGGTTACGGTGACCAACAAGACGAACAGAAACTTGTGAACGCCATTTTATAAATACTAGCTAATCAAGCTAATAGCAGCTCGATTGTAATCTCAGTCTATGCAAATTACAGCGAGCTGCACGAACGCGCTGGATTCGCCGTGTTTGGATGCCGATGTAGGTTCACAAAGCCATGAGCATCAATAGTAATGCGATGACCACCATTGTTGATGGAAGGCTTGTTGGAGAAGCATCAGAGCTGCGCGGAACGATTAGAGCTGCGGGAGTGTTTGGAGAGCATACGACTCCTTGTGCTTTTGGATCGCTCTTGCAGTGCTTTGATGTCATGCGCCGATCGGTCTGCGAGAAGCCGATGCATCTCGAACAAGCCCGGTGTGTTTGTGTTTGGCTCTACCGTGCTAGCATTGCTGGGAAACATGAGATGTATACAGTGACGTAAGACCTGGCTCTGTGGTGGCGCTCTGGCCTGTGGAAAGGCAAAATGGTTCTTAGAAGACTTGTAAGTCGAACCAACTCCGAACCGGCTCCGGCTCTGGCTCTGAACTAGCACCCGGGTCATGCTGGTGGAAAAGGGGTACCAGAGGCGATGGAGGAGACAGGGAGAACCAGAGCGGGCAATGCGTAGATACATGGGCGTAGGTTTGGTCTCAGCTTTGGTGGGGACATCAACCCCTCCCCACCAACCCCCCCGGAATTATTTTGTTGTAAGATAAGTAACAGTGCTTTAATGGCGATTTCTTTTTTCTGGCGATTGGTTTGATGCTGTCTTTCCTGCATACAAAATGGTTAATTAATTTTGTAGTCTATCCTATGGCTAGCAAGTTTAACCCTCCTACCAGATATTGTTATTTGGATATTATCAATCAAATAATGATTCATTATATTTGAATAACCAACAGTGTTAACTTTTGCCTTTTTAACATTGCCAACATGTTTTTCCAGCACATGTGTCTAGCAAGTAGGCTACACTCACAAATACATTACATAAACAGAATGTAGAAACGAAAAATGTCTCAGATGATCCACTGTTTATGACTGCAAGATTCTAAGTTAAGGTAGGCTAATTAACATTCAGTGACTTGCTAACGTAGCATTCTATCATGATAGCGCGACTTCTATGAGTCTATCCGTGCTGCACACCCCAATTAATGCTCCTAACCTTGAAAGATTGCAGAAGCTAGGTTTAACTGTAACAATATCCTGGGTAACCAGGATCACCAGTTAATACTATTTTCCACAGTAAAATCTGCATTTGAAAGCCTGGTCAGTCACTACTACTGCTAGTTATTTGTGTGGCTAGTTATTTTTGCCTACTTACACTCTGCTTTATGAAAAGCTTCGTATGTCCCCTTTCTTCTTCTTGGGTGACATAGCTGATCTACAAAGTACAAAAAGGGGCAAAAAAACGGAATATTAAAATGTTTTACTCTGGCCTTTGTATATGGCAGGCAGAGAGACAGCCCTGGTAACTTACCGTCGGCGTCGTCACGCGCGCACACACACACACACACACACACACACACACCACCCGCTCGCTGCCAGTGAGTGCAAGCACAAAAAGTAGTCCCGGCCCGCGCGTGTAGCCTGCCTGTCAGATACCCCGCCGCCAATCAAATTACGGCGCATCTTGTACTGTCGTCGTCCTGGCCGTTGGAATCGATCCAAATAGCAGCGCAAAGATCCAAATGCAGCGCAAATATCAAAATAGCAGTTCAAAGGAGCTTGCTAAATATTGGTGGGGACAAATTTGTCATCTCAAAATATTGATTGGGACTAGTACCTAGCGTCCCCCCCTAAACCTACGCCCTTGCGTAGATATGCTCAAAGCAACAAATCCACTACCGCTTAGCTGAACCGATGATGAAGATGAAGTCATGTTGACCATCCTGACCAGTGTATGACAACCCCTTAAATAGGGCAAGAACCTTTTTAGTACCAGAAACACTGCCAGCATCTCCAAACAGTTTATGTGCCAGCCACGATGCACCTCTTTCCAACTCCAAAGGTCGAGCAGCCCTGATAGACTGCCTCCCAGCCCGAGAGGGATGTGTCGTGATCATTGTCCGACGCCAAAACGCCCTTAGCTCTGCGTTTAATCACATGCAGAGGGTGGTAGTGAGGCGAGATCTCTCAGATCTTGATCCACCACTGAAATGGTCTCATGTGGAGCAGGTCCAACTGAACCACAGGGGATGCTGCTGCCATAAGACCCATCAGTCTGCGGCATAACTACGTGGACTTCATGTCCAGTTCCGAACTGGATAGACAGCATTGAATGACTGAATGCGTGCTGGAGACTATGCCTACAAAGTTGTATGCTGACTTGGCAGCAACACTCTTATGAGTTATGAATGGATGGTCCTAAATGATTGAGTATGAAATCTCAATGAGCTACTGCTGAACCCTGGGATTGAGCTAATATCAGCCAATCGTCCAGGCAATTCAAAAATTCGGACACACTGGAGCCGCAAAGGGGCCAGAGTCGCATCCATACACTTTGTGAAAGTTCGAGGAGCCAGAGCCAGTCTGGACGGAAGAATGCCGTACTGGTAATCTTTGTTCCAAAAGCAAACCTACTTGACGATGTGGAAGTACGCCGCCTCAAATCGATGGTCACCAACCAATCTCTGGTTCAGATTGAGACAAGATGGACTTCAACGTCAGCATCTTGAAATTGCTTATTCCAAGATTCAGGTGACAAGTCCAATCGGATGCCAACCAGGATATTTCTTAGAAGTGACAGCATTCCTTTTTTAATGTTAAGATTTCTCAGATAGAAACTGGATGTTGTAACCATGCAACAGACTGATCCTCCCGCATGAGGCCCCGAGACACCTGAGTGGTGGGAAGACCTCTTAAACAGGGAACAGTCAGATCACTTGATCAGGCAAGCCAGCGCCAACCGCAGAAGTGGGAGCTTGGATGCCGACATAGACCCTGCACACGTGGCCTTAGGGCTATCCTTTCAGACTCCGAAAGCTAAAGCGCGGAGAGCGGCTAAATTCAGTCCGAAACGCAACAAGCAGCGGAACAGGCTGAGGGGCAAATACACTTTGTGGTTTCTATAGGAAATTACTCTTAAGCGCAAACCCATTCACACAAAAGTTACAAGAATAGTAATTAGCCATGCAAATCACTGTTTGGTAGCATGAAGCGTCAAACATTTGTAGTGCACGATAACGTATACAGCACTTAAATACAGCCAGTCATGTGAAGCGAGTGTTGGTAGCATAAGCGCATCAATCATATAAAGTGAGATTGACCATGGTGAGAGACAGCTGAGCCCGTTACCTTAACCCGATCACCACTACCATGCAGAGAGAGAAAGGGTAAACCCGTCTGTATAGTCTGTAACACAATTGCTCAGCTCAACAATCCCAGTTAGGCTGACAAGAGAAGAGTAAATAGTCATGCAAAATTGTGTTGGTAGTGTGAAGCGTCAAAAATCATGTTTCACGATCAATGTGTGCCACCGATTTCCTAAGAGTCCGCACCTAAAGTAGTCACACGATACAAGAGTTAGAAGCGTAAGCGCAAAATCAGATGCATGTGCCTGCATTACGAAGTGCAGAGAGAGACCGGAGACACCTCTGCTCACTCGGCATCCACTATGGCATTACTGGAACTACTCTTAATGTAAACTCACACACTCATTGTTCAGCTCAAAGCAGCAGCGGAGCGAAACAAAATAGCAATTGGTCGGGCAGACTAATGCTTGGAAGCATGAAGCGCCTAAACTATATAGTGCTGGACAAAATGTCCGCAGCAGAACTCCTCAGAGTTTGTGCCAAAGCAGTCCCACGAAACAAGAGTTGGAAGCGTATGCACCAAATAAAGTACTGTGCCTGCATAAAAGCCTCTCGCGCTGTTCAATAAACACAAGACACTTGATCCAGCAAAAGAGGAATATCCATCAACTCGCCCATTAAAACCCCTAGCTTACATCTACATCGCATGACACCACGCGTCATCTGGCCTGCAGCCCAAATCATCGCTTTAATACGAGCTTCCAGGGCGGGAATCAGATTTGAATAAACCACCGCATGTATTGACCGCATTGAATAAACGCATGTAATCCGGGGAGAGAGAGAGAAAGGGCAGCCGCAGAACCACAGCGGCGGAAGAACGAGCATCTTTCCTCAGAGAGAGAACGAGCTCAGAGCGCAACACTTATACAGAGACAAAAGTCAGATGGGCTTACCTGTCCTACGTATTGCCATCTTACCTGTCATCATGAGCCCGCGCACCTGTTGCATGCATCGACAAACTTACGCAGACTCATCGCGTCCGCCTGAGAGGAGCAATATTCTGCTCTAGATAGTTGGCTTAGAACACGAGAATCTCTTTCCGACGGGAAACAGAAAATTTGCTTTCTGACGAAATTAGATCTGATGAAATGGCGCGTAGCACGCTGGTATGAAGCATGCGTGACGTATTTTCGGGGCGGTGCTAAGCGCCACTGGCCAAAAAATTGGCGTGATGGAAATTGGCTTTTCAGGGCTGTGCTCGTTGTCTTTTGTTTTCCGGTTTGTATTTTCACTGCGATCTTAACTTACCTATTTATGAATGAACGGCTCGTTTTAAAATCATCCCGTTCTACTGACATTTGTTAAGCACAATGCTCATGATAACTTTCGTTTACTCTAAAATAAGTAAATTCACTTCACAAGCTAATTACTCCTCGACAGCGATGCCATAGAAATATAAAGAGCTACTGCAAAACCGGAAGTTCAAACACAATATTATAAGACGGCTGCACTTGTTTCTCCGGGGAACACGGTCTACAAGCGTTCCAGACACACCGACTGTTCCCATAGCGACGCTGTTCCCATAGCGACGCTGTTCCCATAGCGACACTGTTCCCATAGCGACGCTGTTCCCATAGCGACGCGGTCAGTGTTGACAGACCTCTGAAAGCTAACTAAATGCTTGTTGTGTTTTGCAACAATGACAACTTTAGGATGTTTCACTAAATGAATTTGTTTTTAGAAATTAACATTTCACACTTTTGTCGTACATTATATTATTTACATTTATACATCAGATGCGTTTATGAAAAGATAATCATTGAAGGAATAAAACGAGTACACGGTTTTTATAAACAGCATAATCATTGGCACTCATAAGCCAAACAACAACGCAGTTTATATATAATATTTCCTCGGATATCATCTTCCGAGTTTCACGCACCTGTTTTGATTTGATTCGTCCTTTTCTCTTTTGCACAAAGTCGTTTTCTCAGATCATCATTTTCGGACTCAATTCTCTGAATCTTATGCTGATATTCGCTGACAGTTTGTTCCACTGAATCCAGGATGTCACTGACAGTCACTCGAAAGATTTCATTTAAAGACGATTCAAGAAAAGCTTTTAAATCGCCAAACTTCGCCATTTCAACAAACACACGGAGCTGCTGCTGCAGTGACCGGAGAACCGCCGCGAGCGCCACCGAACTCACCGCTGCTCCCTCAGGCCTGGAGGAGAACTACACCCGAACTCACCGCCGTTGGATCCATAGGGTTGGATCGTACGTCAACGGCGCCGCCATATTTGTCCGGGCAACTTGCCGTAACTCTCATAAGTGGAGTGAAGAAAAGGTGCCTTACTTGACAGCTAGTTGGCCACCAAAGTCAAACTATTAATAGCTTTAGTTATGAAAAATTAGACATTATAAGCGATAATTTAATGTTCGCTTGATTCTTATGAAGTCTGGGCTTATATTATCATTTATATGAACTAATGTAAATGGAAAGTGAGTCATCAGTGCAGTGATCAGAGGACTGAACCCACTCATCTCTACAAACAGCAGGTGTTAGGATCGCTTGTCCTGTAATCGTGGCTCATTTATATATATATATTTCCCCATTTTAGCCAGTGGAGCCAGGACAACTCTAACCTCGAGGAAGGCTGAAGAAAGCCTGTCAGTGACGGTTCTCCGCATTTCCAGGAGATTGTGCCTGCCTATTAATACTATGCAACTTATGCTTTTATATTATTTTACTATTCACAACTCACTATTTTATTTACTATTTTTATTTTACTGACTATATTATTTTACAATTTATGCTTTATATACAATTTTATTCAGTTATTATATTTTATATCATACTCATAGTTAATATCCTACTCAATTGTACTTTAAGGCTAATAATAATAATAATAATAAAATGCAATAGAATTAAACTGCCATACTGTATATTGAACTATTACATCTGACCTTATATTACGCTTATATTTCATGCAATTTATACTGTACTGTAGTTGTACTATTTTTTTTCCCACTATATCACATAAATGTTCTATGGTTGTAACATGTTTTACTGGATTCATAAGGACTATCTTATAATTAGGGGTTTAAGCTGTGATATTAATGTTGCCCACTAGAGGAAGCCACAGCATAAAGAATCGTTTAAGCCCAATCCTTTTCTATAGGCTTCCATTTGAATGGAAATAAATGCATTTAGTTCATTTGTATAATTATGGTGTACTGACAGTAAGAAGCAGTGAAACTCTTATAGATAATTAAATGTACAGGGCTATGAAAACACGGACTGAGAAACTGCTTCTTTCCGAGTGCTGTGACCTCCATCACACACACACACACACACACACACACACACACACACACACACACACACACACACACACACACACACACACACACACACACACACACACACACACACACACACACACGTTGGTGCAACAGCATTATGAGGACTCTCCATAGGCGTAATGGTTTTTATACCGTAAAAACTATATATTCTATCCCCCTACACTGCCCCTATCCCTAAACCTACCCATCACAGGAGACATGCAGCATTTTTAATTTTTTAATAAAACATTGTTTTTTATGTTTTTTAAGCCATTTGATTTATGAGGACTTTTGAAATGTCCTCATAAACCACCCATAAGTTGTAATACCAGTGTAATACACATGTCATTATACAAATTTGTGTCCTCATAAATCACATAAACCAACTCACACACACACACACACACACACACACACACCTTCCAGCTAGTGACTTAATTGGACTTTATTTTGCTGTAATTGTTACTGTTTGTTGCTGTTATTGTTGTTTGTTTTAAGTTTTGTTTTTGTTTTGCTGAGATTCACTAGACAGAATTTCATTGTACTATTATACAATTAAGTCTAAAGTTGAACCTTTTAGACCCCAATAAAACACATTTTGAAATCTTCATTTAAAATGAAGAGACAATTTTATTTGTTTTTCACAATATTATAAAATTTCTATAAATACATTTATTGTTTAGGTATTAAAAATAAAACAAACACTTGTGTGTTAAACTGCAAGCATAAGGTTAGGAGGAAAACTATAAAAAGAATAAATGAAAAGAGCCTTAAGATAAATGCTTCAGATAAATAAGGTTTTGAGCTGCAAATTATCTTCACTTTCATTTGAAATTGCCCTGATGTGACGTGATTCAAGAGAAAATGCTAATATGACAGTGTTTAATGCAGAAAAAGCTATTTCCACAACAAAATATACATTATGGTAATTTCATGTACATTACATTATATTACATTACGGACGTCTCTGCAACGGAAAAACAAACCAAAACTATGCTTGACACGCGTGAGTTATCACAATTCCTAATTACAAATAATAATTTTCAAGCTCTAACTAGCAAGAATCTTAATAATTGGAGACAGAACCTTTTTGTACTCCACGCAGATCATAAACAATTGAAATCGGTTGAGAAATCTAAACGTGATTGTGCTTTTTGTCCAGAGAAGCCACAGCTCCGTGTTTATAGATCAGTTTCATCATCTCAGCATCCCAGACAGCTTAGAAGAACTCGATATTGCGACAGAAACTTTTAACTCTCTCTTTTCCAGCACTTTAGACACAGTTGCTCCGTTGCGCTTAGAATGGAAAATCGCCTAGAAAATCGCAACTTTACATTTTCCGTCGGTCTTAGTGCACGATGTAACTACAGAAGCAGGGACGGACTAGGGCTAAAAAACAGCCCTGGACTTTCTCCCAAATAGGCCCATCATCCAGCCATTCGCCCCTAGCCACTAGGATGTCCTGATACTATGCCACAATACTGTAACCTATATCAGACAAGGTATTCACAGCAAGTAATATCTCAAAAACAATGATGACAATTGGGGTTTTGTTTATTAATGAAGCCTCAGTCTTCAAATAAAAAACAACTAAATGTACAATGCCATTACGTCTGCATTGAAAATAAAATACAAATAATGAAATGTCACTGGCTACAGAAACCCAAGTTACACAAACTTGTAATTATAAAACATATAGTTACTATATACCAGGGGTCTCCAACCTTTTTGTGTGCGAGGGCTAAAGGGATCAAATAATCTAGAAGGGCTATACTCAAAAATATTTATTATACATATAACATGGTGGTGTTTTTTTTTTACCTTACCTTTACCTTTACTTTTAACTTTAACTTTTTTACTTTTCACCATCATATGCGAAATAATAAAGTATCTTGATATTCTGGTTCAACAATTCCTGAAAGATTTGTTATATATATATATATATTATTCTCTAAAAACCTATTGTAGCATAAACATTTAGTATAAATATTTAATGCAAAATAAATAAATAAACTGCCATAACTTCTAAACAAAAACATTACTGCATTACATTTAATAGCCTACATAGGCCTACATGACTATTAATATAACAGCATTTTTAATATGAATACAGGCACATTTCTGCCAAAAAAATTGTTTTACTAAGTTACAGTTAATTCATAAGTTGTGGAGTGAAATGTCTTCTAACTGGTTTGTTCTTGGAACAATGTTTCACCTGTTCTTTTGCGTCAAGATGTTGAGAATATCAGCGCTGTTTAATCTGGCTTTTAACTAGCTTAAATCACAGCCATCTGTGGGTTTATACTAGAGATAGAGAATTCTGCACAGAATTGAAATGCTTCTCAGTGGATCGCGCAACTCTGTGTAATAATGTTCGCGTGATCGAGATCAGTTCGCACAGCTGCTTCGGCCGCGATCGCAGTTTTTTTGGGCCGAGCTGATAATGCTCCGCGCTGGCATCCAACTTAAAGGTGCATTGCTGCCACCTACTACACTACTGGAGTGTGAAACAGATTAGTGTGAAACAGGTGATGACTGCGTGTGTGGCGGGTGGTGGGCCGGCCCGCCGGCCGTCCTGGAGTACCGGCCGTTCTGTGATACTCCAGATCACACAGATGGCCAGTCCGCCCCTGTAGAAGAGTCAAGTTTTAAATAGGAAAAATATCGAAACTCTTTGGTCATTTTTTTTTTAGAAATGCTAATGGTCTTGTCCACTTCAATGATGTATGCTAAGCTATGCTAAAAGTGGTACCGCCAGAACCGGAGATCGGCTGAATGGATTCAAAAACGGTAAAACTCAACAGTTTAACTCTGGGGGAGTTGTAAAATGAGCCTATTTCCAAAAAAAGTGGAGTATCCCTTTAAAGAAGATTAAAGAAAATAGTCCAATGCCGCGGTACAACGAGCACACTCACACACACACACACACACACACACACACACACACACACACACACACACACACACACACACACACTCAGGCCCTTAAAGGTTGTATCAGCGATTTCAGGCCCAAACATAAATGATCACATTCATCTAATCTTTCCTAACGATCCGCTAGCTGCCCGCCCCATGAGCAAGCTGTCAAAAACCCGCGTCTCTGTAGACAGCCTAGGCTCTGAGATCTGCACACAAAAATAAATGTGTACAACCACCACTCAAAACCAAAATAAACAGTGTTCCAACCAATCACCGACAGGGGCAGGTTTTGTTTGTTTTTGCGCTCGTGGACGGCGCCTGCACACGAAGCAGTGTTGCCAGACGTACGATAATTTTGACCTCTGTACGATGTACGATCAATAATGAAAGAAACCCATAATGTACGATAATTTCAGAATTTTGTGACACTTCAATCGGAGGTCATTGTAATCATAGTGCTTCTATACTCATTGATCTAGCTGTGGATCTACGTCATGATCCCGTGAGGAGAAATTGAGGGTGAGAGAGCACGGCAGAGAGGGAGAGAGCGAGAGACCTTGCGTGTGAGCCTCATGAAAGCTACACCCCCCGTCAATAATCCAGTAACCCCCCCCCCCCCGTCAACCGTTTGGCTCGTGTACGATAATTTTCTTCCAAAAACAATCATTTTGAGCTTCTGGTACGATACTTGGATGTTTCCAATCTGGCAACACTGACGCGAAGTCAGAGCTGAAGAAGAAGCCAGCGCGTCTATCAACGGATCAGATACAGTGAACATGGAAGAGGCAATCCCCAAGAAGAGAAGGAGGATTAGGGCGAGGGAAAACCGTCGTTATTTATTAAAGAAACGAATAATAATTGGGAAGGCTTTTGAACGATGGAGAGAGCTTAAAGATTTGAACATTTTTAAATCGGACGCTGAGGTTGCACTGTTTCTTCTGGACAGGTGAGTAGCTTCTAGTGCTGACTTTTTCAGATGTGAACTGTGTGTGAAAATATCCTTCATTTAAAAAATATGAGTGAAGCTCGACTAAACTTGGATAGCTCCAGCGAATATCAGATTGCATGATCTTTTTTTTTCATGATGCACGAAACGGGAGGGAGGGGCGAGCTAACTTGGTATGTTTGGGATCTCGCTTCAAACACAAACAGAAGTGACGTCACCCACAATTGGTGATACAACCTTTAAGAGAGCAGCCAGAAACATGGAGCGTAGCTGGAAGAAAACTAAACTAGAGGTATTTCGCATTTCATGGAAGGAGAGCTCGATCGCATAAAGAGAAGCCTTAAAGAAGCCTAGATCTGCTTATTTTTCAACACTATTAGAAGAAAATAAGGTATTTATTTGAAACAATGGCTAAATTACCGAGAAATAAATCTTCAACCCCAGGCGTTTCCAAGCAGCACAGCAGTAACGACTTTATGAACTTCTTCACTTACAAGATTGATAATATCAGGGAGAAAATTATAACTATGCAACCGTCTACTACAGTATCGCATCAGGGAGTGCACTGTAGTCTCCCTGAGGAAAAACTACTATAGGAGAGGAAGAATTTTCTAAACTCGTTAAATCATCTAAATCGACAACATGTATGTTAGACCCTATACCGACTAAGCTACTGAAAGAGATGCTTCCAGAGGTCATAGATCCTCTTCTTACTATCATTAATTCGTCTTTGTCTCTAGGATACGTACTAAAAACTTTTAAGCTGACTATGATTAAACCGCTTGTTAAAAAAACGCAACTTGATCCTGCAGAATTGGTCAATTACAGGCCGATCTCGAATCTGCCTTTTCTGTCAAAGATACTAGAAAAAGCAGTATCCTCACAACTGTGTTCCTTTCTAGAAAGAAATGATATCTGTGAGGATTTTCAGTCCGGATTCAGACCGTACCATAGCACTGAGACCGCTCTCATCAGAGTCACAAATGATTTGCTCTTATCATCCGATCGTGGTTGCATCTCGCTATTAGTGTTACTCGATCTTAGTGCTGCATTTGATACAGTTGACCACAACATTCTTTTAAATAGACTAGAATACTATGTTGGCATTAGTGGAGTTGCACTAGCATGGTTTAAATCATACTTATCTGACCGTTATCAGTTTGTAGCAGTAAATGAAGAGATGTCTTATCGATCACAAGTTCAGTATGGCGTACCACAAGGCTCAGTACTAGGACCGCTGCTGTTCACTCTGTAAATGCTATCCTCACACACACACACACACACACACACACACACACACACACACACACACACACACACACACACACACACACACACACACACACACACACACACTGTACCCCTGGATATCATTAGGAAGCATGGTGTAGCATATATAAGTGCTGCAAATATAAATAAATTAGTGGACCAGTATCAGAAGATCTTAGTTTGGCTCAGGGAGGAAATGGTAGAGTTCAATGATACACAAGAGTCATGGCTGCAGTGCAATTGTGAATTGTATTACATATAAGACAACAAGTATTTACAATATTTACACGTGCACATAGGAGGTATTCAGTTCAAAGTTATTAATGAGCATACAACAATTTCAGAATTCACTCAATCATAAAAAGATGCTTGAAGCTGCCGCGGTTCACAACACACAGCCACGAGACAGACAGAGTCCAAAGAGTCCAGGATGGAACAGTTCATAAGATCAGTACCAATATATAGATGTATAAAGTGTCCAAAGGTGTGTGAAAATGTCTCTGAGGGTGTGTGCGCAGGTGTAGCAAAGTTAGCAGCTGCAGCACCTCCTACCACACCGGTAGATGCATGCACTCCAATGCATCAGGGTTGGGCCTAGTGTCTCGCCATCAATGCACAGAACCTGGCCAGTTTCCACATCATTAAGTCACTCAACAGCAGTCATTTGCAACGGTAGAGGCAATCTGCAGCAGCTCAACACACAGCTCGCGCACACACATACCAAAACAACAGCGCGCGGCCGTATTTAAAGGAAATGACGCAACACTCCATCTCAAGTCTCGCGATACTTCACGAAGTCTCGCGACAACGCGAACACAAAAAGAGAGCCGCGAATAAGGAGAATATAAGGAGAATAAGGCAAAAACCATCTGGGTTACAATGGCATTAGTTTTCACTGTTATGCTGATGATACTGAGCTCTATATTTCTTCATGCCCTGACGAAACTTACCAATTCACAAAATTAACGGAATGCATAGCTGATATAAAAAGTTATTGGACCAAAAACACTTGATGGCTGCTCTGTCAAGTCCTCGTCGTCGGTTAGGAACCTGGGTGGGTGTGTGTGTGTGTGTGTGTGTGTGTGTGTGTGTGTGTGTGTGTGTGTGTGTGTGTGTGTGTGTGTGTGTGTGCTCTTTGATACTAATCTTTCATTTGGAAGCCACATTTATAGTATCTGTAAAACCGCATTCTTCCATCTTAAAAATATATCGAAATTACGTCATATGCTCTCAATGACGAATGCGGAACAGTTAGTTCATGTGTTCATGACCTCAAGGCTAGATTACTGTAATGCTCTACTGGGTGGTTGCCCTGCATGCTTAATAAACAAACTCCAGCTGGTCCAAAACGCAGCAGCTCGAGTTCTTACCAGAACCAGGAAGTATGACCATATTAGCCCGGTTCTGTCAACACTGCATTGGCTCCCTATTAAACATCGTATAAATGTTAAAATATTGCTGATTACTTACAAAGCACTAAATGGTCTAGCTCCGCAGTACTTGAGCGAGCTCTTAACGCATTATAGTCCTTCACGTCTATTGCGATCTCAAAACTCCGGCCAGTTGATAATACCTAGAATATCTAAATCGACTGCAGGCGGGAGATCCTTTTCCTATTTAGCACCAAAACTCTGGAACAGTCTTCCTACCATTGTCCGGGAAGCAGACACACTCTGCGGCCGGATCGCATTAAGGGTTTTCTGTCTTCTGTTAGAGCGGTGTCGTGTTAGCGGTCCCTAAGTTAATAACTAATAATCTTTACAGTGGAAGTGAATCAATCAAAACTAACTTCATCTGGACAATAACTTTATTCTAGATCTGCTGTAAAGCCAAAACAATCTCTGTTACTGTAATCTCCTGTTATCACTGTAAAGCTGCTGTGAAACAATCTATAATGTTAAAAGCTCTAAATAAATGAAGGTGACTTGACTTGACTTTTTAACTAACTTTCTAACTTTAGTGAATATAGTGTTTAAAGTGTTGTTGTTTAAACACAGTCTGGCCTTCACAGATGATCAGATATGAAGATTAAACTGTGTAATAATAACTCAGTTTATGTCACTGGAAGAAACATGATAATCTGGCATTTTCATATGTTCTTGATCTACCGCACAGGAAGTGTGAGGTGATGTGAGGAGCAGCAGGAAGTGATGCGCTGATCTCTCTCTATCAGGGTCAGTTCGTGTTTCATCCGTCTGTCAGGGTTAGAGTGCTTCTGTTCAACATGATGATTATAGTAATTCTGAACTGCAAGAAAACAGTTTACTGTTCTCCGTTTAACAGTGTCTGTCTTAATCTCACTCTTAACACACACACACACACACACACACACACACACACACACACACACACACACACACACACACACACACACACACACACACACACACACACACACACACACTCTCTCTCTTCTCTCTCTCTCTCTCTCTCTTCTCTCTCTCTCTCTCTCTCTCTCTCTTCTCTCTCTCTCTCTTCTCTCTCTCTCTCTATCTTCTCTCTCTCTCTTTCTCTTCTCTCTCTCTCTCTCTCTCTCTCTCTCTCTCTCTCTCTCTCTCTCTCTCTGTCAGTGGAAGTTGTTTGTGGTCAGGAAGTGTAAATGTGTCTCAGTGCTTCTTGAGCAAAACTCATAGCAGAGCACATCCGCCCTGTGCGTCTTGTAGAAGAGTTCAGAGGGCTTTACTGAAGGACACGGCTAAGGTGAGCTTCATTCTCTACACTTCTCTTAAACCATCATCACTTTAGATATTATAAATCATCTCATTGATCGTGTGCTGCTTGTGAGGGCAATGCGAACATGACATGCGGCTTATGGGGGATTTCATGAATGACATGTAAAAGTGAATTCATTGCTCATTTCTGTGGCTGGTTTTGACAGACTATTTTCAATACTGCAAACACTCACTCTGGTCCTGTCGTTTGGACAAAAATAATGAGAAATTCATTATAAGGAAATAAACCTGTCCTACGTCTTGCACGACTTCACAGATGTTCATTGCAATGTGCCGTTTATATTTTCTTTTGTGTAAATGCTGAACTCAAGCAGCTGGTCTGCAGACCTTCCACTAAAATAGCAGAAATGAGAGATTCAGCGTTCTCACACACACGGCTGTGAGTTGTGGTGGTTTTGTGGTGTCAGAGCGGCATGGATATGACGGCTAATGAAATGTTTTTATCTCTACGGATGCACCTTAGACTGAAATGAGCGTTTTCATACTCTAAATGTTTGATCACATGTTGTATGGAATGAATGCTCATGATGATATAGATGTCATTTGTTTTTTTAAATCTCTTTCAGTCTCTTGGATCTTGTTGGTTGAAAATTTTGTTCTGCGTGGGAGGAAACAGTGTTTCTAAACGTCGATCTCAAAATGGACGCCCTGCTCATCACTGAGGACAAAGACTGAACACAAGCCCTTCCTAAACTCCTCATCATGACCATCTAAATGAGAAGACTATGGAGAATATAGTAGACTTAGACTATCAGGAATCTGAGCCTTACCTGGAGGCCCAGCAGTACATCGAGAGAATGAAGCAGGAGGACGAGGGCGTCTCTATGAAGAGCGTGGGTCTGGATGTGTCCGATCACGGGCTCGTGGGTCTGGATGTGTCCGATCACGGGCTCGTGGGTCTGGATGAGTCCGATCACGGGCTCGTGGGTCTGGATGTGTCCGATCACAGGCTCGTGGGTCTGGATGTGTCCGATCACAGGCTCGTGGGTCTGGATGTGTCCGATCACAGGCTCGTTGGTCAAGATGTGTCCGATCACAGGATCGTGGGTCTGGATGTGTCCGATCTCTCTCCGACCGTGTTCCCGGTCTCTCCTCTCTCTCATGCCACTGTGCAGTGGGACGCTCCTGAAACTCCCGAGACTCCCGCAGAACCCCCGTCTCCTGGATCCCACCCTGAACTGGACTACGCTGACGGACCGGCGTTTGACTGGACCTTGAATCTGCCGTCCGCAGACCTCAATTATATCCCGAATCAGGACGGCGTGTTTGATTGGCCGGCTGAAGCCGAATCAGAAGAGGACGTCAGACTTGCTTCTTCCCAGGTGTGTGTGCCGAGCAGCGGAAGGGCCTTGTGGTTTCTCTGGTAGACATGTTCTTGTGTCCGTAACCAGGGACCTGCTTTCTTTATATTTGTGTGCACTTTAGAATGTGGTTTAATGTATTCGTACCTTAGAGGAACAGCTTTTGAAACGATTCATTTTTTAGTTCACCATTTAAGCCTAGAAAAACTTAAAGTAGAGTTTGTTTGAATGAGTTGGTTTAGATTTGACCAAAAGATGCTGAATGCTTGGGTGAAGTGAATCTGTTCTGATGTTTTCCCCCGACAGGCATGTGATGCACAGAAATCAGATTCACAAACACAGATGGAAGCTTCACATGAGGAGTCCTCCACATCTTCTGCACATATCACAGGTAACGTCTCAATGCTTAAAGCTGATGTGATTTAGATAATAGAAGTGCTTTAAATCATATTGTACAATGGGTGAGGTTGTATTTGTGTGACAGTTGTGAAATGGCCATGTGTTCGTCAGCTGTGAATGTTGAGCTGTTTGCTAACTCAGTCGATTTGGCTTCCTCTTCAAGTGTCTCGTTGCATAACCTTTAAAATGTGGTCACATGCACACCAGTTTGCCATCAGCCTTTACATTCCTAGAGGTTTGGACTGGGTGTTGTTCTGGAGGGCCTTTTGTGTGTTTTTAGAAAAAGAAGCCACAATACTCTGAGAACACTGAAGTGTTCTTCTGAAATCTGTCATGGAAGTATTTATCTGTGCCTTTTCCATCAGATTCCAGACCAGATGTGACTGAAGAGCATTTTGATCTTTCTGATGGTGCTCAGATCCTTATGGACACAAAAGACTCAGAGATTGGACCAGTTCAAGAGAGCTCACAGTCGCAAGAACAGGAGGAACCCGGCATGTTAGTCCTTCCCAGAATCCTGTTCACCCATGAGGAAAGCACAGATTCAGGCAGTGAAGAGCAAACCGGAGAGTGGACTGAGACCGAAGCCAACAGAGAATCAGCAGATGCAAGAACCGGTACTCAGGATCCGATTGAAGAACCTGAGGTTGTGGAGAAGGAAGAGTCCAGTCCTCCAGCGGTCCGGTCGGATCAGTCACAGAAAACCATCACTGATCCACCCGGGCCGCTGTCGGACCTCACCAACGGCTCGGTGGACCTCGAGGAATCAACACTGACACAAGAGCCAGACAAGATGAGCACATCCGTTACAGCGACAGAGATGAGCCAGAGTAATGACATTCATGGCTTAGACCGAGCGAAATATAGAGAACAGCTGGTAAACTCAGAGCAAAAGGTTGAGCCTGAAAACGGGCTTCCAGCAGAAGCACAAGAGTCTGAGCCGAGAGAGCCAGCGGAGCGGGTCCGGTGTTCAGGTGAGCAGAAACCCTGCCAGCAGACGCCAGGATCAGAGTCCAGTGACCGGACACAGGCGGCGGAAGAGGATATGACATCAGAGCAGCGCATGACATCAGAGGAGGATATGACATCAGAGCCGCGTATGACATCAGAGGAGGATCCGGATACTAACCCTGTGGGTCGCTGCATGAACGGCAGTGCCGAGGCGGGGAGCCGGGCCGAGGCTCAACGCTTGGCTGAGCGGCTCTACAGACTGGACGGGTTTCAGCGCACAGATGTGGTCAGGCATCTGGACAAAGAGTAAGTCTTTACCTGGCATTGATGAAGTGTATGAAACTATTTGTGTTTCGACCTAATCTTCTCATTTGCCTGTTCTTTTGATAGCAACGAGTTCAGTCGTGCTGTTGGGGAAGAGTACCTCAAGTTCTTCGACTTTACCAACCAGACTCTGGAGCAAGGCCTGCGGTAGGCTTCTCATTCCCAATAAATCTGACCAGTGAGGACATGCATCTCCGTCAAGAGTTCGCTCAAGTGTTTTTGGGCTCTTCCTGATTCTTAGGTCGTTTCTGAAGGTGGTTGTTCTGACGGGTGAGACTCAGGAGCGCGAGAGAGTCCTGCAGCGCTTCTCCTCTCGTTTCCAGCACTGTAATCCTGAGGGATTCTCCTCGGGGGGATCCGTGCTCACGCTCACCTGTGCCGTAATGCTGCTCAACTCAGACCTGCACGGACAGGTGAGTCACGTCTCCTTCATTTATAGCGCTCTCTACAATACAGACTGTTTCACAGCAGCTTTACAGTGATAACAGGAAAATAATGCAACAAAGATTGTTTTGGCTGTACAGCAGCTCTAGAAGAAAGTCATTGTCCAGCTTAAATACGTTTTTAATTTATTTATTTCCAGTTGTAAAAATCATTAGTTATTAACTTATGGGCCGCTTACACGACACCATTTTCAACTGAAAACAGAAAACTTTTAATGCATTCTGGCCGTTTGAGAATGCGAACTTAAATAGGTTTCAAAGTGCAAGTTTTTGAAAACGAGTTTTGAAATCGATACTGTTATCATCTCCGTGTAAACTTCAAAAACGTGAATCTGTGGAAACAGTGACGGTGCACATGTGTATTACGTGTTTAGTCTCTAGGCAGACGCGTGTGAATGTGTATGTGCACGGGCGCATAGTCTTTCTTTACTAAGTGATATCGCTGATCCGTCTGAACGGGAATCATTTTGATAATGTTTTCTTCTGTACAGAGGTGTTACTTACATTGTAAAAGGGTTCGTTTAGACCCCAAACGTTTGAACGAGGAGTGCATTTGTGATGTCACTTGATCTTTGTAAGAGTAATCCTTTACTTGTGTCGTCAGAATGTCGGGAAGTCCATGTCCATGGCTGAATTTGTGTCAAATCTGGACGGCATGAATGGAGGCGAGAATTTCAGCAAGGACTGTCTGAAGGTATGTTTGCCGAATCCTCACGTGTTGCATTATAAGCTTCACTGCTGTGGTGTTCAGTAGTGATTCGGTTTCTTCTGTCTCTTTCAGAGTCTCTACAGCTCCATCAAGAGCGATCCGCTTCAGTGGGCCGTGTGAGTAAACCAACCAGCAGTGCTGATCTGACTTCTGATCCGCTGCTTTATCTGCTTTATCTCTGTTCCCAGAGAGGACGAAGTTCTGGCTAAATCCCTGATGCTCGAGCAGGACCTGGAGCAGGACGGGCACCTGCGATCGAAGAGTAACCCCTTCCAGGATCTCCCTCACGATAGGAAGGCCACGGTGTTCCAGAAAGGCTTTTTAAAGCGTAAAGCACATGCAGACATCGATGGCAAACGCAGTGAGTCACAGTGTGGATAAAGACAAGTCTCATGTACAGTTATCATCTAAGCTACATATATGCAGTAGTCGGTCTTAAAGAGGCCACGTTCACCAGACAGCGTTCAGACGCATTTCTTTCCATTTTGACATTGTTGGGGACATTTACTTACTGTGACTTCTCAGGTAATAATAATAATAATAATAATTCATTACATTTATATAGCGCTTTTCTCAGCACTCAAAGCGCTTCACATGGAAGGGGGAATCTCCTCAACCACCACCAGTGTGCAGCTCCACCTGGATGATGCGACGGCAGCCATAGTGCGCCAGAACGCCCACCACACACCAGCTTAGTGGTGGAGAGGAGACAGAGTGATGAAGCCAATTGGTATATATACATGGGGATGATTAGGAGGCCATGATGGACAGAGGCCACTGGGCAAATTTGGCCAGGAGTAGGTTACACCCCTACTCTTTCGAAAGACATCCTGGGATTTTTTGTGACCACAGAGAGTCAGGGCCTCGGTTTAACGTCTCATCCGAAGGACGGTGCTCTTTGACAGTATAGTGTCCCCGTCACTACACTGGGGCGTTAGGACCCACACAGACCACAGGGTGAGCGCCCCCTGCTGGCCTCACTAACACCTCTTCCAGCAGCAACCTGGTTTTCTCAGGAGGTCTCCCATCCAGGTACTGACCAGGCTCAGCCCTGCTTAGCTTCAGTGGGCGACCAGTCTTGGGCTACAGGGTGATATGGCTGCTGGCCATGTCAGGTAATGTCAATGGTATGAGCCATTTCAGATGCGGCCACAATTACAACAACAGTGGTTGCATATGAGTGTATTTTAATTGTTTGATCATTATTATAGCTAGGGACAATTCAGTAATCACTGGATATTGGATATATGTCCCTAGTGTCTAGAGCTGCCCTCGACTAAATATTTTTCTAGTTGACTAGTAGTCGTCCATTTAAGCGATTATTCAACTAATCACACGTTTATATTAATAAGCCATAAATCATAATATTTAGCTTTTAATTGCCTATATAATACATAGCCTAATCAGCGCGGAAACACAGTCTTAAAGCTTGCCACAGCGCACCGGCAAACTTAATGATTATGAATGAGAGACTGTCAAAACATTTGAATAATTTGTTGATAATGTTTTCTGTGTGTTCGGCTGCAGAGATTAAGTTGACGATGCTGACTCGTCATCTCCGCATTAGGGACGCGCCTTTATGCAGGTTTCATACGGATTACATCATCTGAGAATATTTATTTTCCATTTGAATTGGTTCATTTAAAAGTAGACATATAAAGCTTTCTATAGATACAGTATATTTCTCGTGTCTGTGAGGCAAGTATACACTGAGTTTCGGGTCACTAAAACCGGGACAGCAGAAAACGCATCCTGTTTTCTTTATTTTACAAAGGCACAGCGTTTTGTTGTTATTGTGAGTTTACAGAAATAAAAGTAGACCCTTTACAGTTTGCATTACTCTTATATGTATGACCAAAATTTTAACACAAACACAGATTGGCACCTAATAATAGCGCACACTTATCTAGGTTAACATTAGAGAGTGGACTTGTAAAGTTGCTGCAACTTACACGTTTCAAGTGCTAAGCCATATTTGAGGTTATTGCCGATAACGATCTGTCCGTCACAGCCTGTGCGATTTCGCCCCTTCCTGTGGAGTTTGTTTCTGTGACTAACCAACCAATAACATTTTGGTCGACCAAACCTCTTCTAGTCGACTATTGGAGGCCAGTCCTACTAAATGTCCCCCTTGATCGCTTTGCTTCGGTAGCTTAACTGATCGATATTCAACAAATACAAAGAATAATTAACTATATCCTTTTATTCCACAAAACTATCAGTCCTTGAAAAGCATTACTGCTCTGAAGCCAGACAGAAATGATGTTGTTTGATAGTATGAACTTATAGTGGCGGCGGATGTATTTAGAAACACAGTTTCACCATGTTCACGAGCGCTGACAGTCAGTCTAGAAGTCCAACAATTCATCACCACCGCTGGAAACGCTAGACAACAACTCAAACTAACTCGTCATTTTTTGTCTAGTCAGTGAGGTGCCCATCTTGACCACCCTACAGCACATTCAACACACTGATCACTATCTGAACTGCTTTGCAGCTCCGTGGGGGAAGCGCAGCTGGAAGACGTTCTACGCCATGCTGAAGGGAATGGTGCTGTACCTGCAGAAGGTAATCGCCAGAGACCGAGGAGGGCAGCTGTGGGGAATATGTCAATACAGACACATGACACACGTCGTCATGTTTTGCAGTGCTTTAGTGGCATGTCTGCTTTTTATACAACCTTGCCAAAGCATCAATACTAGTAGCAGTGAAAGCTAGATTGCTGATCAGTGTGTGTGTGTGTGTGTGTGTGTCCAGGATGATTACGGGAAGGACTGCCAGAGCTCGGAGGAGGTGGTCAGTGTTCATCACGCTCTGGCCGAGCGAGCCCTGAACTACACCAAACGCCCGCACGTGTTTCGCCTGCAGACGGCCGACTGGAGAGTCTTCCTCTTCGAGGCTGCGTGAGTGTGTGTGTGTTCGAGGCTGCGTGAGTGTGTGTGTGTGTGTGTGTGTGTTCGAGGCTGCGTGAGTGTGTGTGTTCGAGGCTGCGTGAGTGTGTGTGTGTTCGAGGCTGCGTGAGTGTGTGTTCGAGGCTGCGTGAGTGTGTGTGTGTTCGAGGCTGCGTGAGTGTGTGTGTGTTCGAGGCTGCGTGAGTGTGTGTTCGAGGCGGCGTGAGTGTGTGTGTGTTCGAGGCTGCGTGAGTGTGTGTGTGTTCGAGGCTGCGTGAGTGTGTGTGTTCGAGGCTGCGTGATGTTGTGTGTGTTCGAGGCTGCGTGAGTGTGTGTGTTCAAGGCTGCGTGAGTGTGTGTGTGTGTTCGAGGCTGCGTGAGTGTGTGTGTGTTCGAGGCTGCGTGAGTGTGTGTGTGTTCGAGGCTGCGTGAGTGTGTGTGTGTTCGAGGCTGCGTGAGTGTGTGTGTGTTCGAGGCTGCGTGAGTGTGTGTGTTCGAGGCTGCGTGAGTGTGTGTGTTCGAGGCTGCGTGAGTGTGTGTGTTCGAGGCTGCGTGAGTGTGTGTGTTCGAGGCTGCGTGAGTGTGTGTGTTCGAGGCTGCGTGATGTTGTGTGTGTTCGAGGCTGCGTGAGTGTGTGTGTGTTCGAGGCTGCGTGAGTGTGTGTGTGTTCGAGGCTGCGTGAGTGTGTGTGTGTTCGAGGCTGCGTGAGTGTGTGTGTGTTCGAGGCTGCGTGAGTGTGTGTGTTCGAGGCTGCGTGCGTGAGTGAGTGTGTGTGTTCGAGGCTGCGTGAGTGTGTGTGTGTGTGTTCGAGGCTGCGTGAGTGTTTGTGTGTTCGAGGCTGCGTGTGTGTGTGTGTGTTCGAGGCTGCGTGAGTGTGTGTGTTCGAGGCTGCGTGACTGTGTGTGTTCGAGGCTGCGTGAGTGTGTGTGTTCGAGGCTGCGTGAGTGTGTGTGTGTTCGAGGCTGCGTGAGTGTGTGTGTGTTCGAGGCTGCGTGAGTGTGTGTGTTCGAGGCTGCGTGAGTGTGTGTGTTCGAGGCTGCGTGAGTGTGTGTGTGTGTTCGAGGCTGCGTGAGTTGTGTGTTCGAGGCTGCGTGAGTGTGTGTGTTCGAGGCTGCGTGAGTGTGTGTGTTCGAGGCTGCGTGAGTGTGTGTGTTCGAGGCTGCGTGAGTGTGTGTGCTCGAGGCTGCGTGAGTGTGTGTGTGTGTGTTTGAGGCTGCGTGAGTGTGTGTGTTCGAGGCTGCGTGAGTGTGTGTGTTCGAGGCTGCGTGAGTGTGTGTGTTCGAGGCTGCGTGAGTGTGTGTGTTCGAGGCTGCGTGAGTGTGTGTGTGTGTGTTCGAGGCTGCGTGAGTGTGTGTGTTCGAGGCTGCGTGAGTGTGTGTGTTCGAGGCTGCGTGAGTGTGTGTGTTCGAGGCTGCGTGAGTGTGTGTGTTCGAGGCTGCGTGAGTGTGTGTGTGTGTGTTCGAGGCTGCGTGAGTGTGTGTGTGTGTTCGAGGCTGCGTGAGTGTGTGTGTTCGAGGCTGCGTGAGTGTGTGTGTTCAAGGCTGCGTGAGTGTGTGTGTGTGTTCGAGGCTGCGTGAGTGTGTGTGTTCGAGGCTGCGTGAGTGTGTGTGTGTTCGAGGCTGCGTGAGTGTGTGTGTGTTCGAGGCTGCGTGAGTGTGTGTGTGTTCGAGGCTGCGTGAGTGTGTGTGTTCGAGGCTGCATGAGTGTGTGTGTGTTCGAGGCTGCGTGAGTGTGTGTGTTCGAGGCTGCGTGAGTGTGTGTGTTCGAGGCTGCGTGAGTGTGTGTGTTCGAGGCTGCGTGAGTGTGTGTGTTCGAGGCTGCGTGAGTGTGTGTGTTCGAGGCTGCGTGAGTGTGTGTGTTCGAGGCTGCGTGAGTGTGTGTGTTCGAGGCTGCGTGAGTGTGTGTGTTCGAGGCTGCATGAGTGTGTGTGTTCGAGGCTGCGTGAGTGTGTGTGTGTTCGAGGCTGCGTGAGTGTGTGTGTGTTCGAGGCTGCGTGAGTGTGTGTGTTCGAGGCTGCGTGAGTGTGTGTGTTCGAGGCTGCGTGAGTGTGTGTGTGTGTTCGAGGCTGCGTGAGTTGTGTGTTCGAGGCTGCGTGAGTGTGTGTGTTCGAGGCTGCGTGAGTGTGTGTGTTCGAGGCTGCGTGAGTGTGTGTGTTCGAGGCTGCGTGAGTGTGTGTGCTCGAGGCTGCGTGAGTGTGTGTGTGTGTGTTTGAGGCTGCGTGAGTGTGTGTGTTCGAGGCTGCGTGAGTGTGTGTGTTCGAGGCTGCGTGAGTGTGTGTGTTCGAGGCTGCGTGAGTGTGTGTGTTCGAGGCTGCGTGAGTGTGTGTGTGTGTGTTCGAGGCTGCGTGAGTGTGTTCGAAGCTGCGTGAGTGTGTGTGTTCGAGGCTGCGTGAGTGTGTGTGTTCGAGGCTGCGTGAGTGTGTGTGTTCGAGGCTGCGTGAGTGTGTGTGTTCGAGGCTGCGTGAGTGTGTGTGTTCGAGGCTGCGTGAGTGTGTGTGTGTGTTCGAGGCTGCGTGAGTGTGTGTGTGTGTTCGAGGCTGCGTGAGTGTGTGTGTTCGAGGCTGCGTGAGTGTGTGTGTTCAAGGCTGCGTGAGTGTGTGTGTGTGTTCGAGGCTGCGTGAGTGTGTGTGTTCGAGGCTGCGTGAGTGTGTGTGTGTTCGAGGCTGCGTGAGTGTGTGTGTGTTCGAGGCTGCGTGAGTGTGTGTGTGTTCGAGGCTGCGTGAGTGTGTGTGTTCGAGGCTGCATGAGTGTGTGTGTGTTCGAGGCTGCGTGAGTGTGTGTGTTCGAGGCTGCGTGAGTGTGTGTGTTCGAGGCTGCGTGAGTGTGTGTGTTCGAGGCTGCGTGAGTGTGTGTGTTCGAGGCTGCGTGAGTGTGTGTGTTCGAGGCTGCGTGAGTGTGTGTGTTCGAGGCTGCGTGAGTGTGTGTGTTCGAGGCTGCGTGAGTGTGTGTGTTCGAGGCTGCATGAGTGTGTGTGTGTGTTCGAGGCTGCGTGTGAGTGTGTGTGTTCGAGGCTGCGTGAGTGTGTGTTCGAGCCTGCGTGAGTGTGTGTTCGAGCCTGCGTGAGTGTGTGTGTTCGAGCCTGCGTGAGTGTGTGTGTTCGAGCCTGCGTGAGTGTGTGTGTGTTCGAGGCTGCGTGAGTGTGTGTGTTCGAGGCTGCGTGAGTGTGTGTGTTCGAGGCTGCGTGAGTGTGTGTGTGTGTTCGAGGCTGCGTGAGTGTGTGTGTTCGAGGCTGCGTGAGTGTGTGTGTTCGAGGCTGCGTGAGTGTGTGTGTTCGAGGCTGCGTGAGTGTGTGTGTTCGAGGCTGCGTGAGTGTGTGTGTGTTCGAGGCTGCGTGAGTGTGTGTGTGTGTTCGAGGCTGCGTGAGTGTATGTGTTCGAGGCTGCGTGAGTGTGTGTGTGTGTTCGAGGCTGCGTGAGTGTGTGTGTGTGTTCGAGGCTGCGTGAGTGTGTGTGTTCGAGGCTGCGTGAGTGTGTGTGTTCGAGGCTGCGTGAGTGTGTGTGTGTTCGAGGCTGCGTGAGTGTGTGTGTGTGTTCGAGGCTGCGTGAGTGTGTGTGTTCGAGGCTGCGTGAGTGTGTGTGTTCGAGGCTGCGTGAGTGTGTGTGTTCGAGGCTGCGTGAGTGTGTGTGTTCGAGGCTGCGTGAGTGTGTGTGTTCGAGGCTGCGTGAGTGTGTGTGTGTTCGAGGCTGCGTGAGTGTGTGTGTTCGAGGCTGCATGAGTGTGTGTGTGTGTTCGAGGCTGCATGAGTGTGTGTGTGTTCGAGGCTGCATGAGTGTGTGTGTGTTCGAGGCTGCATGAGTGTGTGTGTGTTCGAGGCTGCGTGAGTGTGTGTGTGTTCGAGGCTGCATGAGTGTGTGTGTGTTCGAGGCTGCGTGAGTGTGTGTGTTCGAGGCTGCGTGAGTGTGTGTGTTCGAGGCTGCATGAGTGTGTGTGTGTTCGAGGCTGCGTGAGTGTGTGTGTTCGAGGCTGCATGAGTGTGTGTGTGTTCGAGGCTGCGTGTGAGTGTGTGTGTTCGAGGCTGCGTGAGTGTGTGTTCGAGCCTGCGTGAGTGTGTGTGTTCGAGCCTGCGTGAGTGTGTGTGTTCGAGCCTGCGTGAGTGTGTGTGTGTTCGAGGCTGCATGAGTGTGTGTGTGTGTTCGAGGCTGCGTGAGTGTGTGTGTGTTCGAGGCTGCATGAGTGTGTGTGTGTTCGAGGCTGCGTGAGTGTGTGTGTTCGAGGCTGCGTGAGTGTGTGTGTGTTCGAGGCTGCGTGAGTGTGTGTGTTCGAGGCTGCGTGAGTGTGTGTGTGTTCGAGGCTGCGTGAGTGTGTGTGTTCGAGGCTGCATGAGTGTGTGTGTGTTCGAGGCTGCGTGAGTGTGTGTGTGTTCGAGGCTGCGTGAGTGTTTGTGTTAGAGGCTGCGTGAGTGTGTGTGTGTTCGAGGCTGCGTGAGTGTGTGTGTGTTCGAGGCTGCGTGAGTGTGTGTGTTCGAGGCTGCGTGAGTGTGTGTGTTCGAGGCTGCGTGAGTGTGTGTGTGTGTTCGAGGCTGCGTGAGTGTGTGTGTGTGTTCGAGGCTGCGTGAGTGTGTGTGTTCGAGGCTGCGTGAGTGTGTGTGTTCAAGGCTGCGTGAGTGTGTGTGTGTGTTCGAGGCTGCGTGAGTGTGTGTGTTCGAGGCTGCGTGAGTGTGTGTGTGTTCGAGGCTGCGTGAGTGTGTGTGTGTTCGAGGCTGCGTGAGTGTGTGTGTGTTCGAGGCTGCGTGAGTGTGTGTGTTCGAGGCTGCATGAGTGTGTGTGTGTTCGAGGCTGCGTGAGTGTGTGTGTTCGAGGCTGCGTGAGTGTGTGTGTTCGAGGCTGCGTGAGTGTGTGTGTTCGAGGCTGCGTGAGTGTGTGTGTTCGAGGCTGCGTGAGTGTGTGTGTTCGAGGCTGCGTGAGTGTGTGTGTTCGAGGCTGCGTGAGTGTGTGTGTTCGAGGCTGCGTGAGTGTGTGTGTTCGAGGCTGCATGAGTGTGTGTGTGTGTTCGAGGCTGCGTGTGAGTGTGTGTGTTCGAGGCTGCGTGAGTGTGTGTTCGAGCCTGCGTGAGTGTGTGTTCGAGCCTGCGTGAGTGTGTGTGTTCGAGCCTGCGTGAGTGTGTGTGTTCGAGCCTGCGTGAGTGTGTGTGTGTTCGAGGCTGCGTGAGTGTGTGTGTTCGAGGCTGCGTGAGTGTGTGTGTTCGAGGCTGCGTGAGTGTGTGTGTGTGTTCGAGGCTGCGTGAGTGTGTGTGTTCGAGGCTGCGTGAGTGTGTGTGTTCGAGGCTGCGTGAGTGTGTGTGTTCGAGGCTGCGTGAGTGTGTGTGTTCGAGGCTGCGTGAGTGTGTGTGTGTTCGAGGCTGCGTGAGTGTGTGTGTGTGTTCGAGGCTGCGTGAGTGTATGTGTTCGAGGCTGCGTGAGTGTGTGTGTGTGTTCGAGGCTGCGTGAGTGTGTGTGTGTGTTCGAGGCTGCGTGAGTGTGTGTGTTCGAGGCTGCGTGAGTGTGTGTGTTCGAGGCTGCGTGAGTGTGTGTGTGTTCGAGGCTGCGTGAGTGTGTGTGTGTGTTCGAGGCTGCGTGAGTGTGTGTGTTCGAGGCTGCGTGAGTGTGTGTGTTCGAGGCTGCGTGAGTGTGTGTGTTCGAGGCTGCGTGAGTGTGTGTGTTCGAGGCTGCGTGAGTGTGTGTGTTCGAGGCTGCGTGAGTGTGTGTGTGTTCGAGGCTGCGTGAGTGTGTGTGTTCGAGGCTGCATGAGTGTGTGTGTGTGTTCGAGGCTGCATGAGTGTGTGTGTGTTCGAGGCTGCATGAGTGTGTGTGTGTTCGAGGCTGCATGAGTGTGTGTGTGTTCGAGGCTGCGTGAGTGTGTGTGTGTTCGAGGCTGCATGAGTGTGTGTGTGTTCGAGGCTGCGTGAGTGTGTGTGTTCGAGGCTGCGTGAGTGTGTGTGTTCGAGGCTGCATGAGTGTGTGTGTGTTCGAGGCTGCGTGAGTGTGTGTGTTCGAGGCTGCATGAGTGTGTGTGTGTTCGAGGCTGCGTGTGAGTGTGTGTGTTCGAGGCTGCGTGAGTGTGTGTTCGAGCCTGCGTGAGTGTGTGTGTTCGAGCCTGCGTGAGTGTGTGTGTTCGAGCCTGCGTGAGTGTGTGTGTGTTCGAGGCTGCATGAGTGTGTGTGTGTGTTCGAGGCTGCGTGAGTGTGTGTGTGTTCGAGGCTGCATGAGTGTGTGTGTGTTCGAGGCTGCGTGAGTGTGTGTGTTCGAGGCTGCGTGAGTGTGTGTGTGTTCGAGGCTGCGTGAGTGTGTGTGTTCGAGGCTGCGTGAGTGTGTGTGTGTTCGAGGCTGCGTGAGTGTGTGTGTTCGAGGCTGCATGAGTGTGTGTGTGTTCGAGGCTGCGTGAGTGTGTGTGTGTTCGAGGCTGCGTGAGTGTTTGTGTTAGAGGCTGCGTGAGTGTGTGTGTGTTCGAGGCTGCGTGAGTGTGTGTGTGTTCGAGGCTGCGTGAGTGTGTGTGTTATGTGTGTGTTCGAGGCTGCGTGAGTGTGTGTGTGTTCGAGGCTGCGTGAGTGTGTGTGTGTTCGAGGCTGCGTGAGTGTGTGTTCGAGGCTGCGTGATGTTGTGTGTGTTCGAGGCTGCGTGAGTGTGTGTGTGTTCGAGGCTGCGTGAGTGTGTGTGTTCGAGGCTGCGTGAGTGTGTGTGTGTTCGAGGCTGCGTGAGTGTGTGTGTGTTCGAGGCTGCGTGAGTGTGTGTGTGTTCGAGGCTGCGTGAGTGTGTGTGTGTTCGAGGCTGCGTGAGTGTGTGTGTGTTCGAGGCTGCGTGAGTGTGTGTGTTCGAGGCTGCGTGAGTGTGTGTGTGTTCGAGGCTGCGTGAGTGTGTGTGTTCGAGGCTGCGTGAGTGTGTGTTCGAGGCTGCGTGAGTGTGTGTGTGTGTTCGAGGCTGCGTGAGTGTGTGTGTTCGAGGCTGCGTGAGTGGTTGTGTTCGAGGCTGCGTGAGTGTGTGTGTTCGAGGCTGCGTGAGTGTGTGTGTGTTCGAGGCTGCGTGAGTGTGTGTGTTCGAGGCTGCGTGAGTGTGTGTGTGTTCGAGGCTGCGTGAGTGTGTGTGTTCGATGCTGCGTGAGTGTGTGTGTGTTCGAGGCTGCGTGAGTGTGTGTGTGTTCGAGGCTGCGTGAGTGTGTGTGTTCGAGGCTGCGTGAGTGTGTGTGTTCGAGGCTGCGTGAGTGTGTGTGTGTTCGAGGCTGCGTGAGTGTGTGTGTTCGATGCTGCGTGAGTGTGTGTGTGTTCGAGGCTGCGTGAGTGTGTGTGTGTTCGAGGCTGCGTGAGTGTGTGTGTTCGAGGCTGCGTGAGTGTGTGTGTGTTCGAGGCTGCGTGAGTGTGTGTGTTCGAGGCTGCGTGAGTGTGTGTGTTCGAGGCTGCGTGAGTGTGTGTGTTCGAGGCTGCGTGAGTGTGTGAAGCGTTAGCAGTCAGATCTGAGTGATGATTGTGTGTCCTTCAGGTCCACAGAGCAGATGAACTCGTGGATCGGCCGGATAAACCTGGTGTCGGCGCTTCACTCCTCTCCACCGTTCCCTGCAGCGGTCGGGTCCCAGAAGAGGTTCTGCCGGCCCATCTTACCCGCGACACAGTCCAACCTCACGCTGGTAACCGTTGATTCGCTTCTCTAACATCCGGGTGGTACGGTGGCCCAGCAGTGCACAACGCAACAAAATTTAAAAAGCAAACACAAGTTCACAAAACAACGGAAATGCTCCCGACCACTAGAGGGCGATAAAGTTAGTTTTCCTGGCCACTGTTCTATGGGGGGGGGGGGGGGGGGGGGGGTATCGGGGAGTAGTAGTGGGAAGTTCAGATCATTTTAATGACTCGGATCTTTGAATCTCATTCCTCAATATTAACAAATCTTTTTTTTGAGTCATTTCGTTCATTTTAGCAGAATGTACTTAAAATGATACATGTTAACCCCCTGGGGTCGGCTATCGCGCCGCCGCGATTGTCTCGCTTTTTTTCTTATCAGTGCAAAAGAGACTCAAAATACTCGGTTGATTTTGATCTTACATATAAGTGTGATACATCATTAGATCCTGTTAAGTTTCTATTTTTTTGTGGATACTCACAATAAAAACAAAGTTGTGCTTTTAACCAAATAAAGAAAAACAAACATGATGCGAGTTCTGCGTTCTCTCTGTCAGTGCAGTCCATTCTGAAACGCGTCCTAAGATTAACTGTAACTCCGCGATTACTTGTCACACAGGCAGGAGAGATTTTTCTTTATGAAGCTTGAATTCTCTTCTTTTAAATGAAGTAATTTATATAAAAAACAAATATTCTCAGTTTATGCAATCTGTATGAAAAGAGAGTGCTGTCAGTATTTTTTTCCCAGCTCATTACACTTCATTACGCGTTAATCTGACACGCCCACGGAGGACGCGCGCTATTCAAACGCAAATGTGAGGCAAGCCATGACAATGCCCACATCAGCCGTTCCACCGCGGCGGTAAAATGTGTGGTGTATTTGCTGCCTTTTACCGCTAAGAGGCGCTACAATCATAGACTCTGAAAAGTGTTCGTTTATTCCGGTTTATTCTCTCTAATGCGTAATCTGCTGCCGCACCGCGCCTGATTCAGAGCGATTGAAAGCTGGTAGCAGAAGAATTCAACAAGTGAAATGTAGTTAAAATAATTCATAATCACAATACTGAAATTAGGCTACTGAAATGTAATTGAATAAATAATGAAAACATTTCAACATAAAACATTGCAATAAAAACATTTAGGCTACATCAATGAGGCTTTACAACTGTAACAGCGTACAGACGGTAGCTCAGTGATCAACGCATCAAGTCGAGCTTCGAGGAGCTTCAATCCACCCGAGATCGAATCTCAATGTAGCATAGGCCTACATGTTGTTAACCGATGTTGGCCTACAGCGTTTATATTTTCCCACCTTGATGCTTAAATAGGTAACTGTTTATATCTGTTTACTTATTTAAAGTCAAGAGTTTTGTTTATTATCATTACAACATAAATTTGCTACATTCCTGTAGAACCGCAGCCGCTGCACAAACGACAAAAACTGATGAAGGAAGATTGTCAGCCGATTGCATCAGAAAATGAAAATGAAGAAGCTCGTCTTTAGTCTGCTAAATTATTGTGTAATGTAAAAGAACACTAAAATGACTTAAGTTTGAAACCAAGTTCGAACATTTCAAGGTTTAAATAAAGTGTCGGGACAGTTTTTTTTTATTTAAAACAGGGTTGCATCGGGTTTAGAGTTTATTTCTTTTGCGATGCAAAATAAGAAACACTAGGCTAATCGTATTCTTGCGACATTTTTAATTTGTATTGCCAAAGAAATTACAGCTAAATTAAACAATTAAAACAGTACAAAACGAAAATTGTCCAAAGCAACTTTTTTCATGCGTTTTTCTTTGCCTCTCTCGCGCTGGATCTCTTTTATCCTTACAATAATTTTGCCTGCTCATCAGGCTGGCTATCCGACACTCTCCATATGAAAGAGGAACATTAACACCTTTGTCCAGCAACTGTCCCTCCAACCCCCCACAGGCCATCGGAGTCTGAGGCTGACTTAACACAAAGAGAAGTCGCAATTCACACTTAAATCGCTATTCTAGACAGTGTTGATAATGAAGGAATTAAATGGAATTACATGTAGCCTAGTGATATTTCTGTCATAAAAGTTTATTACTAAATATTTCATTATTTCAATAATTGATTAAATAAACTGGTTTGGGGCAGCTTTTTCCAAGCAAAACTAAATATAATCTGAAAAAAACGCTTGTTTATTTGTTGTCATGAACAAAATGTTCAACTCAATAAAGTCTACAGGGATCTTTGGATCCTTACAACCAGGCATGCAATTTGTGAATTAAGTTTTAATTTTATTTTGTATTATTCAAATAAATATCGAAACACGGTGCTTCGTGGTAATGCTGCTAAATTAAATAACATTTATAGAATAATTATGAACTTAAATGAAACAATATCGCAACATTTCGACACATACATTATTTGATCTGTTTTTACATTTTAATTCAGGGCGATTTAGCCTACATTTAATTAGAGCGAGATTTTCACCCTTGTCTTGTCATTTTCTCATTGGGAAGCGCTTACAGGCTACATGTTTGAGTACATCCTCTGTACCTCTCGTTTTCATATGGATTAGCCTACATAATCAGATAATATTTATTAGCCTAAATATTTAGACATTTAAAGGCTTTAGACATAGCCGATTTCTTATCGTGACTGAGCTGAAGTGGCTTTCGGTTCATTTTTGTGACGCGCAGTTCCCGGAGACAGAGACACAGATAGCTATACTGTTTTTGTCGTTAGCCTAATAT